GTTCATATGAAACACAAACATTTTAATCCTCAAAACAGTAAAAACGTCAAATGTGTCGTATAAATGAGTTTCCTTTCACTCCACAAGCAACAAAACTGTAGCTCTGTAACAAAATAATTTAGTAAAACACACCTAAAAAATACTCTTGGTGATATATCGATACAGCAGCCCACGATATCGATACTGTATCATCACATTAAACGATACGATATATCGATATTCCGATATTTTTGCACATCCCTACCTATATTACACAAAATTGATTCTTGTGAGCTTTAAGTCATGTTATAATGCTGATCAAAAACAGACCTGGAGTTGCGTTTTGTTTCATTTACATATGTTTGAGTAATTCTTTATTATTAGTCTGTTTACTTCTCCAAAGTTCAAAGTGCTCTGCTCCACCTTGTCATGAAGCGGTAGTTTTCAAGTTAACATCTACTTTTTGCCATTAGTTCAATAAAGACTGGCAACTCTAGGGCTGAAATTATCTAAATGATTCTAGTGAAGGTGTGTGGAGTTTTAAAACACAGTGGAGCACTTCTTGTTTTACCACATGACATCATAAGGTGGAAGAAAATGTTGTCAATTTGAGAGAAGAACTCAACCTAAATATGCAAGCTTTGTGTGTCAAACATGTGTGAATGAAACAAAACACAACTCCAGGTCTGTTTTTGATGAGAAAACAAATTCCTTTAAAGCTACCATCCGTAATTATACTGACTGACCCGCCCCTGTTGAAATAAACATGCAGATGGTAACTTTAAGTAAACACATTTTACTTTTAGACTGATTTATATGAATTAAACAACTATTTTAAATCAAACATAAACTTAAATTTCCAGTATGCACCATGGAAAAACCTGAGAATATGAACAGATCTCACCATTCTCTTTCCGACCAACTTTGTTAAGAATTTCAGATATGTTCAGCATCTCCACAATAACTGCTGCTGACTCTTTGTTTTTTGTTTTGAAAAACCTGCTTAGAAACAGTGCACAGTGTAATAATGTAGTTTTATGACGCCCAATCTTCCATTCAAACAGACTGGTGTAAATGACTCAAATGTCTGACCTGCAGCTCCCACTAAAGTCTAAAGTGTGGTCAAAGCCAACAGGGGAAAGTGTCTGTAAACTTGTATTGTCTAAAGAAATGTACAAAAATGACATAAGTGAAATAGCTGAAGAGTATTATGCATTTTTCCCCCATGTACAAAAATGACATAAGTGAAATAACTGAGGGGTATTATGCATTTTTCCCTCCGATACAGATGGACCATGTGTGTCCCTGATTGACTAATCCACCCGTCAATCACGCCAATCTGAAAATGGGGAGATTCACAGGTGAACAGACTCGCATCTTTGTAAATTCGTAAATATTGAAGAAGCGTGTATTTTGGATCCCAGGCAAGAATTAAACATAAATAGATAAATAAATGAATGAATTAATTAATTAATAAATAGCAGGCAGTTAAATTCTCTATTTAATGTCCAATAATAAAACCAAATTGTGGAGAAATTTTCATGGAGGAAAAATTATATTTTCCAGGACATTTGGCATTTTCTGTTTGTAAAACAAGCCAATTATTTTCCAGGTTTTCCAAAATTTCCAGGACTTGTGGGAAACCTGCTGTCATGTGTCAATCTTTTATTTATTTTTTTTTAAATTTGCTATGTATTTATTCAGTGCTATTTTTTATTTTTAAGTCACAGTTATATGTCTTTTTTCCACACATAATATTTATATAAATGTAAAAAAGTACATTAAAGAAAAAGTAAAATGACTAAATAATAATAATACAATAAATAACATAATGATAGATGATACATAACGTGTCAATCATTATCTATATTGTAAATTTTGATTGATTCTATTTCATTGTTCAGAATCACTCTGTAATGATGTCTGTAAAGATTCATTAAAGATAAAGACTTGCCTTCCCAATATTTATATCAATGGTCTCATGGTTTTGACAAGTTCAGATTTCTTAACTTGATAGAAACCAGATCATGTTTCTTATTCAAAGCCAAATGTCCTGAAACCTGAAACTAATTGAAAATAGCATGAAACCATTAAAATAATAAGTCAAGTAAAACAATAATAAAGTCTAAGGAATTCAGATTGAGAATTTAAGTTATTTAAGTAACTTTTTGGTTGGTTTTCTGCCTGGAATGTTCCACAGTATGACATTAAACAGCTCTACCTTACATTTATTCAATTACAACTGGTTTTATAGCTCAATAATACCTAGAAAAACAGGAATTCTAATTGTGAGATTGTGATCTGACCTGTAACTTGGTCTGGTTTGGTTTCCATGAAGATAAAAAGGTTTAATGCCATACTGAGAAACATTCCAGACAACATCTCCAAAAGCATTTGATGGGCCCTTCACCAGAAAAGTTACACAATTCACCTTTAAGAATATATAGAAATCAATTTTTGTCTTGTTTTTCAGGGCAGTTTTTAAATATATTTGCCTATTACTTTTCACAGCACTATAATCACAGAATCCATATACTACAAATACTATATAACAGTACCAGTCTACATAGGAATTACATATATTTTTTGTCCAATAAGGAAAATATCCACAAATTTGCACTACCTCCAGAAATGCTCCAAAAGTCCACAGTCAGTGAAATAGTTTGAAGACTTGTTAGCTGCTGACCTTATAACCCCAGTACTAGACGATTTACAGAGACTACCAGACACTACTGTTGTAAACTCAGTGTAAACCTGACCACACCAGCCCATTCACAACACAAGGAAGTATTTTTAGGGCCCCGAGCTCCAGTGAACAAGTTTAAAGCGGGTCATTGAGTAGATGCATCTGTGTGAGGAGGAGACTGCAGAGGTGGTACATGTTAAAGGTCCCATATTAACGCACAAGTAACTGTTGTTTCCTCATTAAAAACATACCTGGAGTTGTGTTTTGTTTCATTCACACATGTTTGAATAATCCTTTATTATTAGTCTGTTTACATCTCCAAAGCTCAAAATGCACTGTTCCAAATGCCATGTAATAGTAGTTTTCAACTTCCTTTTGTTCAGTAGAGACTGGCAATTCCACGACTGAAATTATCCAGATGATTCCAGTGAAGGTGTATGGACTTAAAAATACAGTGGAATACTTGTGAAATAAAACTTGGTAAGTATTAAAGGTCCTACAGTATATTACAAAAAAAAAAAAAAAAAAAAGACTCTTTAATCTTGAAGTCATGTTATAATGTTGTTATCTCATCAAAAACATACCTGGAGTTTTTTTTTTTTTTTTTTTTTTAATTCAGGCATACTTGAGTGACCCTGAAGTGGTAGTTTTCATATCAACATCTACCTTTTACTAGCCTGATTCAACAGCCAGTTTCACTTTATGGAAACCGTCTGACCTCACAGCATTAGGATTCATTTGCTTGACGGTAGGCGGGTACTTTTTTTTTTATTCAACCAATTGCTGCTATTTGGTCATGACGTATGTAATGCGTCAGTTCCTGTAGGAAGAAGGGCAATAACGTCTTTCCCCCTGATAAAATTCACCAAACATTCTTTTTGTTCCGGCTTTATATCCACGATCTCGGTAATAGTTGCCAAAACAGAATGTTTGGCTCTTCGCTGATTGGCTGGTGCCTGGACTCGCACTTCCGATTCCTGACCTAGTCGCTGGACAGAAATTAAACTGAGCGGAGGCACTAGGTGACACCAGCCTGGCTAAGCTTTTAACACTTTTAGTTCAAATTCCAGATCTGAAATCATCTGAATGATTCTAGTGAAGCTGTATTTAGTTTGAAAACACAGTGGAGCACTTCCTGTATTACCACATGACATCACAAGGTGGAACAGTTTGAGAGAATAACTCAGCCTAAATATGCAGGATTTCTGTGTTAAACATGTGTGAAACAAAACACAACTCCAGGTGTGTTTGTAACGTGGAAACAACATTATAACAGAGATCAGAAAACAGTGTAATATGGGCCCTTTAATGAATCTCTAAAGGTTTTCATGACCAAACATAAACATAATGTAGCTCCAAATACAAACTTTGCAGTAAAACTATTTCTACTATAGGCCATATAGGGTGAATGAATATGACTACATTATTGCTACTGATTTTTCCTGATTTCTGCCGGGCTTTTGAACACATCTCAAAGTTCAAAAGTTTAAACCCGGGTCGGTCCTTTGTTGGTGGGAGACTTTAAGAGACTTATGGACTTAGGCTGCAGTAATCTTCAGTGTGTAACTGATTTAATGAACAAAGTAAAAACACAGTTCATCTTATAATCCCCAAAACACTGCCAGCCACTTGAAAAACACAATTTATTCTCCTCTATTGATGTTAATCAGAGCTGAAATAATCCATAATCAAATCGAAAACAACATTTGAACAGACGCAAATTACCAAATAGAGTTAAAAGTGCACTTGTTTGTCCACAAATGAGTTACTGCTTTGTCTAGAATGTTCCATAGTATAGATTAAACTTATCTATCACCGAGGAGACCAGCACTATGCTACATTACAGTTCAGATCTGTGGAGAGGCGCCCCTGTTCACAGAAGGAATGATTGTATTTTTGAGCAATAGAAACACCTGTAAAGAATAAATGCAAGATGGAAATGTTTAATGTCATATCATGGAACATTCCAGGTTAAGCAATAACATCTCCATGGGGACAACTTTCTACCAGAAAAGTTGCGCAGTGCAGCTTTAAAGACAGACAAACTGCAACCAAAAAAATAAAATATTCTGTCTCTCTTTGTGTGTGGTCTAACGCTGTAGATTCTTACATTAGATTAGCAGCATAATTCTGTGCACTCTGATCTCAAACTTGATTATACTAAAATTACAATAATAATATTCTGTTAGTAATTCGTGTTTCATATTTCCAACATTTTTAGAGATTGTGACTTCTTGCTATTTAGTAGTTAAATAAAGTGAAATAAATAATTATAAAGAAGGTAATTTCTTATGGAGCATACACTGCAAAAAAGAAAACAAAATGGACACATTGAAATGGTTTGAACTATATTAGATTTATTTATATATTTATTGAACCTGGTCATTTACTGTGTTTTATTATCACCCTGTATCAAGTTTAATTGCCACAAGGTAAAAAAAATAAGTTAAATTAAGTAGTTTAAGTTAAGTAATTTAGTAAAATATCCAGGTTTAGCCAATTATCTTGACTTGAAACCAGTCTCCTAGTAAGTACTGTACTTAAGTATAAATTGTAGGTATCTGTACATTACTTACTGTAAGTGGGCTAAATTTTAAAGTGGATAATTTTTTTTTACTTTTACTCCACTACATTTTTAACTGCACTGAAAAGTAAAAGAATCTTTGACTAAACAAAAATATTCAAATAAAAAACAGTCAGTCAGAATCAGTTGTTTCTGTATCAAAATCACAACATCTTAAGCTTTATTAGACCTCCAAATCTGCACAAAATACTTCTACTTTTTACTCTTTAAGTACAGTTTAAACTTAAGTAGATTTTTCATGTGACACTTTTAATATAGTATTTTTTTCCTCCAGTATCTGTACTTTTACTAAACTGAGTACTTCTTCCACCACATCTTGAAACCAAACAAAAACATTAATAATCTACACGAGTAAAACATCTGAGTAAAAAACAAAACTACAAAATAAATATACTATAACCTGTAAGTATAAATGTATTAACTTTACAAATAGAAGCAATATGTGTTTTTGCAGGGTAGTTTTTAAAGGGAGAGTGTATACAGGCTAAGTACGTGAGAGGTTGAACCCATGTGAAAGAGATTGTGTTTCGTAAGGAGATCTGCTGGTAATTCTCATGTTTATCTCAATGCAAAGCTCTGGACTCAATCTGAACCAAATATATGATTCACAGAGACATTTTTTATCTCTGCAAAGCTCCTTGCGTCTTTTTATCCCCTTTAGTCAAATACTTTTCATGGTTTTGGCAGCTCATATGTGTAGAGCGTAATCTTCACACTTATAGCAAGAGCAAAGTTGGAAATAGTAATGTGTATATAATAATAATAATAATAATAATTATAATAGTGATTCTGTTCAGGTGGTTTTCAATAAAAATGCAAAAAAGGTTGATTTAATCGTTTATTTTATCCAAGTCAAAATTGAGTTAAAGTTGAGTTTTAATGTTTTCTTTTTTCTGTTTTTGTTTTTTGGGTTTATTATTGTTCTACAAATAGACTGCTGTTGTATGAAATAAAAATAATTTATGTCTTGTTCAGTAATAACATTTTTAACCTATGAGAAAAAAAAATATCTTCCTATCTATGTAAAAATACTGTACAATACTATACGATATTACACAATAATTTACATGCGTTATTATTATTACTAACAGTAAATCGAGTTTCACAGATGAAGTTATGTTTAGAACTGAAGTCGTTTAAATTTCACAGTTGAGTCTTTAAAACAGGTTCCTTGTAAACTCCAAGCTTGGAGTGCCCCCTTGTGGCCAGAATGAATATTGTCATTGAAACTGTCACAGCCCAGAAATATTGTTTAGCCAAAAACAAGAGGTGAATATTGTCAAAATAAACAGAAATAATACATTCAGTTTTTAGGAAATTCAATTCTAAAGGTTCTATATCTTATGAAAAAATTGACTTGAGTGAGTTTTTTGTTGTGTTATAATGTTGTTCCCTCATGAAACAAACAAACAAACAAAAAAACATAGTCTGAGCTGCGTTTTGTTTCATTCACAGAAGTTTGAGTAATCCTGCAATTTAAGGCTGTCTATTCTATCTAGCTATAAAGCTCCAAATGCTCTATTCCACCTTATCAACAAGTTAACCTTAAAAGAAATCTATACTCCTTAATCAGTGTTAGGGAGTAACATATTACATGTACCAGAGTTACGTAATCAGAGTACAAATTATGAGTAACTGTATTCAGTTACAGTTACTGTTTCAGTGAGTGGTAATTGGATTACAGTTACTTTGTTGAAATAAATGGATTACATGGTGGTATTTTCCTGTTTTCACATTTTGGGCTATATCCTCTCTTTTTTTTTTTTCGGTAATTCCACTCATTGCCGGAAACTAAACCAGGTCTGAACTAGATCTAAACCAGGACTAAACCAGGACTAAAACCAAGTCTAAACCAGGACTAAACCAGGACTAAATCAGGATTAAACAGGATTTAACAGGACTAAACCATGCTGTGTGGACGTGTCTCCTCTTCTATCAATAATATTTTTAATTTGGTTGAGTAAAGTCTGGGCTTTTCATTTTCTTTTAGCAAACAAAACATCTTATGTTACGATATCCTTGTCTTGCTTCTCTACAGCAAATCAAGTAATCCAAAGTATTCAGATTATGTTACTCATTTAAGTACTTTAATGGATTACGTTACAAACTACATTTTGGTGTATGTAATCTGTAATCTATAGGGGAATACATTTTAAAAGTAACCTTCCCAACACTGCCCATAATACATTGTAGTCTTTTTTTAAATAAAAGTTTTAACAAGGCTAAAATAATAAATGTATTACTGTAACTAAAATGGATAAATAAATGGATATGATTAACTGAGGTTCAGGAGCTGGACTACGTCTCAACCTTCTCTCCAGCCAACCACGGCTTATCTAAACCACACCTTCAATTACACAGAAACCCTATTTATACGTTTGTTTGGATCAGTTGGATGACCATTTTGGATTGGAGACAGAGCCCCCAATCTGAGTTTCCCCCCCGGCCATTGCAACTATCCACCTTCAATAAATGTCTCTTTATCGTATTCCATTGTCTTGGCGTGGTCCTTGCTAGGAAAATAGCTTTAAAGTTTGGCAATTCCAGGGCTGACTTGACATCACAAGGTGGAACAGATAACTCAGCCTAAATATGCAGGGTTTGTGTGTTAAACATATGTGAATGAAACAAAACACAACTCCAGGTCTGTTTGTTATAAGGAAACAACATAGGAAATAATAAGGAAATAACATAGATCAGAAAATAGTGCAATATGAGCCCTTTAAAGTCTCATCTTATTCCGTTTCACAGTGTCCCTCGCTCATTCTCCATCAGTCCTCAGGCGCAGGCCACATCGTCGTAGTCCTCCCCAGAAGAAGTGTCTGAGTCTGGGCTCACAGGGCTGTACACCGGACCCTCCTCGTCCTCGTCCTCATCACCTGAAAACACATACAATTTTGTTCATTTTAAGAGGTTAAATTAAAGGTCATATATCACATAAAATTTACTTTAGGCCATGTTAGAATGATTTTACATCCTCAAAAATATTCCTGGAGTTGTGTGTTGTTTCATTTACACCCTTTATTAGAGAACCCATTCATTATTAGTCTACATCTCCAAAGCTCAAAATGCTCTGCTCTAATTCTAGGGCTGAAATGATTCTAGGGAAGGTGTACGGCATTTAAAAATACAGTGAAGCACGTCCTGTATTACCACATGACATCACCAGTTGGAAGAGAGTGTTTTTTGTTTGAGACAAAGCCTAAACATGCAGATTTATCTGTTAAACATGTGTGAATGAAACAAAACACAACTCCAGGTATGTTTTTGACAAGGAAACATTATAACATAGATCACAAAATAGTGTATTATAGACCCTTTAAATTAAACATTCACAACAATAATGATGATATGAATTCATAAAAAATAAATAAAAGTTTAAATAGTGGCTTACAGGGCGGAGGTGGGAAGTCAGGGGTTGTGTTTTTGTAGGTTTCTTCAGACGAGGTGCTGGACTCGTCAAATGAGTCATAGGCCTGTGACTTTGGTCTGAAGTCTGATCCATTACAGCTCGTCACTGCTCCGTGAACAGGCTCAGACGCTGCCAAAACACACAACACACAACAAATGCATCAAATATAAGTCTCCATACTGTTAGAAGTGAATATGTCTAAAATCTAAACCTAAACTTTTCTGATTGTGTTTCAAATCATCAAAAATCTTCCAAAGGCTACTGAACAGGAGCCCAGACAGACAAGTTTGTGTTTTCTGTATCTATAAAAAGTTTCTATACACTGTTAAAGTTTCTGTATAAAAGAAGATAAAAATAAGTTTCTATATAAAAAGAAGACAAATTATTTTTTTTAAATATAATGACTGTGATGATGATAAAGTTTAGTTCTTATATTTAAAGGTGTACTATGTAACTTTTCTGCTGGAGTGTCTGCCACTGCACGTTTCTATGAAGATTTTATTGCATCACTGGAATATTCCCCACTATGGCATTACATTTATCTATCTGGTAGGGAAGTAACGATATCCAAATCTCTCTGTATGATATTATCACGATATTCATCTCGCTCATTCATTTAGGCTGAGTTATTCTCTCACACTGTTCCACCTTGTGATGTCATGTGGTAATACAGGAAGTGCTACACTGTGTTTTTAAACTCCATGCAAAAAGACTAACAATAATGCAGAATTACTCAAAAATGTGTGAATAAAAAACAAGGTATGTTTTTGAGGAGGTAACAACATTATAACATGGCTTAATGCTCACAAGGGTAAATTTTGTGTAATGTAGGCCCTTTAAAATCTATAATTTTCATGATATTTTGACACTGCTGCACCTTCTTCATGGAGGCGGTCTAAATCTGATGGTCTCATCAAAGGATTCCTGTCAGCTCGGTGTCTCTGAGAATCTGCACAAAATGAATAAACTGAAGTCACACACGCCCTGCACGCTGCAAAACATGGAAACATACTGTGCAAAACACTGCAAATTACAACCACAACACAATGCACCAGAGATAAGGAATCCATCTGAAGAAGCAACTGAGCAAAGGCTGCAAACTTCGGTGAAGACAGCAAAATGAAATGTTTCTCACACATTATTATATCAATTTTGTGCTTTAAAAATAAATGTAAAAATACCTGATGGATTACTGTAGTTTACTTTTAAACAGTGGCACCTTAATTATATTTAATAAAGCTTAATTCATAACTAATATTCACATTGAATAAATAAATATTTTATAAAGGATGATTCAGGTTTAGTAAATATCGGGAGTTAATTCAAGCTGCAGTACCCAACTTTTTCTCATAAGTAAGTAAATTCTGTTTTTCTGTTTTTAAGTATTGTAAAATCAGAACTTAGGGTACACAGTGCCTAATCTACTTATAAAACATTTAGTTTATTTCAAACATGATCCTCATTATATGACACTTATGAGAGGTGATTGGCTGTCCGAAGGTGGTCCACCCTACTTTACTTTTCTATCTGAAAATGTGTTTGTTATGAAATGAAATAAAGTCTCTCTTCATACTTTATTAAGCCTATTAAAACTGTTTTTAAAGTGCAGATTTAAATTTCAAAATCAGAATTCAGTTCACAGTGCACATTTTAAACTCATCCAGGAGCATTTGAGAGAAGACTGAACTACTAAACTAACACAAGAATCACATGTTTTTCAGTGCATGTTTGTAGAGCTTTAACTAGAGGGTTAGCAGGTTTTACATTAATAATAGGCTCTGTGCACAACAGTGCCCAGCAGCCACAGTCTTAGCATCACTATTTCTTACTTTATTTTACTTAATTTGAATTTTAATAAATAATTTATTTTATATTTTAAGATTTTGATAAAAGTGACTGTTAGCTTTGAGACACAGTGTATATTGCACCCTGTGATTTGTTGAGATTACAAACTTTGCAAACTTTGCTACTTTGACTATACTGTGAACATCCTTGAAACCCCAGATTTTCTTGTATGTTATAAATAAACGGGGAGTAAATAAAGGAACATGGCTCACTGTGAAATGTGGAAAAGGACGGTTTTTCTACTGGAGAGTCAACACTGAGCTGCATCCACACAGGACTCTTGGAGAAGGCTTGAGACACAAAAACACTTTATCAGATCACTAATGTGATGACCTTTAAAGGTGCACTGTGTAACTTTTCTGGGGGACGTGCATCTGCTTGTCTCCATGGAGATCTTATTGCTTACTTGGAATGTAGATTGTGCAGTTACCGAATCAATAGGTAATTAAATTAGAATAGAAACAACCAAATATACTTTTATGGAAAAAGTTAACCCTGTCATTTCAACCTGTACACACATGTTTTGAAACGCTTGTGATTCTTGTTTTAATTAATGCAAAAGATAATGCTGACAGTGCACTGTTAACTTAATTTTCAGTTAAAAAAAAAAAATATATATATATAATATAAAAAACATATTGCAAATCCAATTGCACAAAAAAAAAAAAACCCCAAACCAAACCAAACCAAACCAAAAACAAAAAACAGTTAAACTATTTCACAAAATCGTGCAGCCCTGTCCCACAAAGGTATTAAAATATTTATCCAAACACAAGTGGTCACACCTTTCCACAGATCTGACCTATAACTTGGCCTGGCACCATCACCTGCTTGTCCCTGTGGAAACAGATATGTTTGATGAAATACTGATGAACTTGCAAAGCTATCTCCATGGAGACAAGCAACTGCCGCACTCTCCGTCAGAAAAGTTACATAATTCACCTTTAATATTAACATGAAATAAAACTTCAGCAGGGTTACAAAAGCAGTGATAGTTAAAGTAGTTTACCGTGGTCAGGGGCTGGGTTAATTGAGACTTTGGTGAGACCCACGGAGTCTTCGTAACTGCCGCGACGATGCCTTGTTTTGGACTGACTCGTGTGTGACTGCTGGATCATGAATGCTGTCAAGAATATGTTATATAAATGCAGGGCCGTATACGCAGGGACAAAGGGGTCTGTTGTCCCGGGCCCTAAGGCTTTAGGGGCCCAGAATTGGACCAGCTTCCTATTAATTTATATTACAGCGGGCCCATGTGAGTCTTCCTGCCCCGGGCCCCCAAATTTCTGTCGAAGGGCCTGCATAAATGTACAAAATTTACAAATATGAAGGCATGTTAGCAGCCATGTAAGGAAAATACTTACTGCCCCATCTTATGACAGTATGAAATGTATGTAAATGTAGTAAATCAACCTCAAATGCTACAACTACCCAAGTTTAACTCAAATATAAAAGCTACTGGTATTTGATTATTACTGTAACTGCATTATCTGAAATGTTCCACAGTATGGCTTTAAACGTATTATTATTGTGGGTACATTTCCCTTCAACAGAAATGTGGGGATCCAGGGCAAGACACACCCCCTCTGATATAAATGAATACAAAAAGAGTCAAATTCTGGGCCCTTAAGTTCCTGGGACCCTGGACAACAGACCCTTTGTCCCCCCCAATTAATTAGTTAATACATTTAATTTACAGTACATTTAATTTACAATTAATTTACAATACCTTATCTGGAAAACTCTTTAAAAAATGACATAGTGCATCATTAAAAGTGCCAGTACACTATTTTAGAGTTTACAATCAGCCAGATTCTATTTATATTGCGATCACCACGAAATCCTAAAAACTGTGTGTGTTTTGAATTGTTTTTGTATTTCTTTTATTATTATTTTGTATATTTTTTTTCCACATACCATGGCGGCTCTTGTAGTGGCAGCAGAGCACAGTGTTCACGATGAGAAACACCAACAGGAGCAGACACACCGAGGTGAGAGAGATGAGCGGGACAGAGAACAGAGAAGAAGAGTCCATCACCGTGGTACCCTCTGAAGACAATATATAAGGTTCATATTTCAATTTCAGTCAGTCAATGTCTTTTTATTTCAATCTGACATTGTGTTTTACCTGTAACCATCTCAGTGGTTGTTACTGTATTGTATTCGACTGTTGTGGGGACTGGAAACCCAAGGGAACCTATAACATAAAGAGTCACATCGCTCACAACTGCACAACTATTAAAGGTGCATTGTGTAGCTTTTCTAGTTTTTTTTAGGGAGATGGTATGTTCCACAGTATGGCATTAAAAGTCCATTCATCCTTTGTTTCATTAGAGGTGATTTTTGTTGTTCAGAAATACCTTTAAGAACATGCATTTTTGTGTAAATTGGCCTGCTTGGATCCATAGAGACAGATAAGTTTAATGCCATACTGTGAAACATTCTAGGCTGAACAGTTATATCTACATGGAGACTAACATGTGGCCTACCCTCCCCAAGAAAAGTTACACAGTGAAACATGTGGATACACGTTGAGGTGGTCAGTATATCGCCTAAATAAAAGTAAAATCAAAGTCTTGATTATTATAATGAGAGAATACAAAAATATTGGATACAAAGAAAATAAACTAAGGTTACGTTCAGACTGCAGGGCTCAATTCGGATTTTTTGCGAGATCGTACACATTTCCAATTAAATGCGACTTGTTTGTCGTCTCCAATGTGAACTATAAATGCCCCCAAAGTGTCCCGCATGTGCAATGGAGGACATTTCTTTGGCAATCATTTCAAAAACCGCCCAATTCCGATAAGACTCCTCCAATTTGGCCTGAATACAGCGATCCCCCCAAATATTAATAAGCCTGCTAACCTCATATTCCCTCCATTGACTAGACTCCGTGCCTGGCTTATAGGCGGGATTAATGTGACCTGACCGTTCAGACTGACATGTCAGAAGATCGGATGTATAGGTTTTAGGAGCACATATCCAAGTGGCCTGGGTCGCATTTGAAAAAAATCTGATCTGTATCATTCAGACTGTCATTAAAAGATCAGTTACAGGTCACATAGGGGCAAAAAAATCAGATTTGGGTCACTTCAGGCTGCAGTCTGAACATAGCCTAAGTGTAATCTGTGTCTAATATTCTAAACAAGGATATTAAGTTCTGGTATTTAGTAATAAACAGCAATATTGAGCTAAACCAATTTAATAACAGAATAGAAAATATCTTGTTCAAAACCATGCAATATTATTTATAGATTTATATGGAGAAATGCACTTTTTTGATGCAGAACTGTCGACGGGGATAAGGGGTAAGTGCAAATGTAAATTTTCTGAGCACCCAAATCTGGACAAAACAGAATAACTCAACATGTATTATATTACACTAAATCAAAATACATCTCAGAATAAGCCAGTTATGAGGCAGAACTAATATAACATCCTCCTCCTTAGACATTAGACATTAGTCATTACACTACATAAAATAAAATACATTATTTTATTTATTTGGCTATGTTATGGCTATGTTATGTTTTGTTGCTGTTGCCTTTTTTCTTCTTTTTTAATTTCCTATTATCTTGTCTATACTGCTTATATCTGTGAGATGTAGCAGCTCTCCCCCATGCATAAAAAAATAAATAAAAAGTAAATGTATCACAAAAAACACCCACAGTCCTATTCCTTACCGTTGCATATGACCCCAGCAGCTTTGCTTTCTTTGCATAAGTGTGGCTGGTTGATTAACTCAAGGCAGTCCCACAATGTATTGGCGCCTGGGTGGCAGTGGTAATAGTAAAGTGGCCCAGGGTTGTGACTCAGAGGTGGGCTGAACTGGGAGAAGCTTTTGGGGTCCGAGCCACATTGGAGCATAGAGCAGATCATGGAGGCCAGGTCTTTGTTCCAGCAGTTGTCACACACGGTCCCCCATGTCCCATTACGATGGATCTCCACCGTCCCTGAGCAGTGGTCCAGCCCTCCAGACAAACGCACAGCTTTCATCTCTGCAAGAACCAAGGAGGGGAAAAATAAAATAATTTACAGCGCTCGTATTACAAAATTTTTTTCTATTTTCTGTTATTATGTTGTTTCCCCATCACAAACAGACCTGTAGTTTTGTTTTGTTTCATTCACACATGTTTGACACACAAACCCTGCATATTTAGGCTGAGTTCTTCTCAAAAGGAAAACATACTGTTCCACCTTGTGATGTCATGTGGTAATACAGGAAGTGCTCCACTGTGTTTTTAAACTCCATACACCTTCACTAGAAGCGTTTGTATAATTTCAGTCCTGGAATTGCCCATCTCTACAGAACAAAAGGCAAAAGACAGCTGCTAAATTGACATCACAAGGTGGAACAAAGCATTTTGAGCTTTGAGGGAGGGTGAAGCTGACTAGAGGCACAGCTCTGTCTGATCTCTGTTACTCAAATTAGACTTTAATCTGGTCTTTGTTTTAACATAATCTGATCATAAAGAACAGCCTACTACAAAGGTGAGCTGATCTGTGCTGTTAAACCATAAGTTAAACACATTCGTCTTCAAGCTGTTGTTTAAAGCCATTTTATATTTTTATTGAGCTTTCAGACTGAATTTAAAGGTGCACTGTTCAACTTTTCTGGTGGAGGGTTCACTACCTGCTTGTCTCCATGGAGATGTTATTGCTTTGCCTGGAATGTTCCATGGTATGACATTAAACATATAAATCAAGCATTTATTCATTACAGGTGTTTGTATTGCTTAAAAATGCACAATCATTTCTTATGTGAATAGAGACGCCTCCCCACAGATCTGAATTGTAATGTAGCGTATTGCTTTAACCTTTCTTCCATGTGATAGATGGGTTTAATCTATGCTGTGGAATATTCTAGACAAAGCAATAACATTTCCATGGAGACAAGCAGGTGGGGGACCCTCCACTAGAAATATTACACAGTACACCTTTAACAATAATAACAATAATACATGACACTTGTATACTGTAGTGTTTGCTAGGGATGCACCAAATATATTTGGCAACCCAATATATTCGGTGGCCGAATATTGCAAGTTGCGGAGTTTATTCACTGTACTTCTCATATGAGTAATGGCGGTCCATGCCTGGGCACAGTGCTAAAGTCTTAGTGTGAGTGCACCCTAAATGTATGAGGTTACAAGCACACACTTATTATTATAAGTGTAAGTATTATTATTTACTTGAGCCTTCTGTTTACATTATTATCCTATCTACTGTGGGTTTATCTACTTTAACGCACTTAGTTTTTTTTTGTTTTTTTTTAAATTGTTTTGTTTAAAGGCCTAGCCTAATATGAATGAAAAACTTACTGGTATACTTACTGGAAAGGCTACTAGAATATTTTAAAAATATTAAATAAACATTTACTTTCTTTAAAAAAAACATGTTTAAAAATGTATTCTAGACTATTTATGCAATATTTTAAAAATTGTGAAAAACTTAACCGCTGTTGGTATTCGGTTTCGGTATTTGGGAAGAATGTAATTTTTATTTGGTTTCGGTTTCTGCCACACATTTTCAGTTCAGTGCATCCCTACTTTTTGCCAATATTTGCATATTTGCATTGTGTCACCAGGGCAGAAGTTGGAGTCTGTTCTCCTGAGCCCCAGATTTGGACCCTCTTCGCATTATTATATATTAGAGGGGGATCCATGTGAGGCTACTTGCCCGGGCCCCCAAATTTCTGTCGACGGGCCTGTGTGTCACCATGATAATTGCTGAAAATCCCGCCATAGACATACATGCAGACCCCACCCCCACCCCACTGTGTGATGTCACTGCACCATATGAATTATTTCTGTTACCTGAGCAGACCACCCCTGCATCCTCCTTGTGCCCACAGTCCGATTCCTCAGTACCGGGACAGTCCCACAGGTTTGGTTCTGTCCCAGTGCAGTTCAGATCGTCCAAAAACACCGGCCCAGCTTTGCCCGGGGGGAAGAGACCACCTTGCCCGCTCAGGTTTAGGGCATATCCACAGCCCGCCTGAGCACACACCACCTGCGCCTCCTGCAGGTCAAAGTCGTCATCGCATACGGTGCCCCAGTGCCCCCTCCTGAACAGCTCCACCCGCCCAGCACAGCGGTCCTTGCCCCCAGCCAAACGCACCATTTGGTCTTCTGTAGAGGACAAGAGCGTAACATGTGTCATTATTATATTTATATGTTTATTATGGGGCATAGTTGGCATTCATAATTATTTGCAACAGTTAAAAGACCCATATTGTGCTATTTTCTGATCTATGTTATAATGTTGTTTCCTCATCAAAAAACAGACCTGGAGTTGTGTTTTGTTTCATTCTCACATGTTTAACAAACAAACTGCATATTAAGGCTGAGTTTTTCTCTCAAACTTCTGTTTTTAAACTCCATACACATTCACTAGAATCATTTGGATCAGCCCTGTAGTTGCCAATTTCTACTGAACTAAAGGTAAATGGTAGTTGTTAACTTGAAAACTATCGCTACATGACATCGCAAGGTGGAACAGAGCATTTTGAGGATTACTCAAACATGTGAGAATGAAACAAAACACAACTCTGGACATGTTTTTGAAAAAGTAATAACATTCTAACATGGCTAGAAGCTCACAAGAGTCAGTTTTGCATAATATAAGACCTTTGACAATTTTAGGTAATGTTTTGTTATGTTTTGAAAAGGTATTTGCTTAAGAACATAGAGAAAAATCACACACACTGTATTACAAAATGTGAGATTTGATAGGACATACAGTACGTTCAGCATGAGGCCTTCACATAGCTTTTCAGGTTTTGCCTAGTGCTGAAATGTTGTACTGTACGTCCTAATAAATCTCACATTTTGCAAGTAAGCTGGTGTGTGGGATTTTTGCTCCCATAAAGATGAGCAGATGAAGCACCCATATAATCCAGAACATTGTTTATTACACCACTACCAAACAAATCAATCAATCAATAAAGCACCATACCACACAGAGCTTCAGAGATCACCACGCAGTCCGGGGCATTTTCAGTGGAACAGTTCTGGAGTTGTCCCATTTCAAATTGGCATTCAGATAAACAGGAGGAGTTTGCGGGATGTTTGATTTTCTTCACGTCATGGACTTCTCCACAGCCGAGCTCGAGACAGATCTGCTGAGCTAGCCGATCCACTGAGTCTGTATAAACCATCACATTCGCCACAGAAGAGCTTTCAAGCTTTTTCAGAGTCCAGTGACATTTTCCAGAAAGAGGTTCAATGTATGGTGTGTCTATGAAAAGAAAAAACAACATGCTTATTTAAAACACAGCTGTAAAAATATTTAAGAGCTGTCATGTATTTTACACTGGTGATTTTTAAAGATTCATTATGAACATAGAAGAATCCCGCAGACCATCTTACTTGCAAATTGTGAATTTTATTAGGACATCAACGACATTTCAGTACTGAATCAGGCAAAAGATGCATTATGAAACTTTTCTCTAGGAGCGTCCGCAACCTGACCAGGCACAAGAAGATGGATTCTTGTGGTATTTGTGACTTCACAAACTTACGTCATGGGACTCCATCTTGGCGTGTGCCCACCAATCACAGAGGAGCACTGAGGTTTGTGCTGAAGCCAAAGATTCAAACAATCATCATCAGCCAGGCTATCCGCAACCTGCTTGTCTCCAGGGAGATTATTGCTTTGACGGGATGTTTCACAGTATGGCATTAAGTGTATCTATTTCACATTTATTTCATTATTTCATTATTACAGGTGCTTTTGATTGCTCCAAAATACCCTGAAAAACATGTATTCTTACTCTCCTCAGATCTGAACTGTAACTCGGCCTGGTGGCATCCCCTGGCCGTTGAGTCATTGCCACAAATGCCACAAAAACTCAGATCAAAATACTGATTCCCCACACACTTAGGCTAAGTTTTTATGATGACAGTCTGAAAAGAAGCTGCAAAAATGGCGTCGCGTCTTCACTTTTCATTCCGCATTTAGATGAGTGTTTTCGGGAGGAAATCTGCATGCATATGGTAATGCAAAAGTGTGTAGAATTCGATTGGGTATACATGCTACATGTTTGTTTCTGTGTACTTTATGTATGCGACATAAACACGTATGCAACATGAGCAGATCTGACCAGAGTTTTGTGTCTTGGGAAGTGTAGACGAAAACACTTTGGTAGAGCGTATTCAACTTTTCTAATCTGGAGGGTAGTTTCAGATTTTTGCGTTTTTAAGCCCCAAAATATGCTGTCACCGTCTAAACAAAAGGCACTTCAGATAAAATATTTTGTCATTTTTACCTGCAAGCGTTCTCGTGTAAACAGGCCCTTACTGTAGAATATACTCACATTTGAGTTGGTGACTTGGGGCATTTTGGGGACAGAATTATTAAAAGGAAAGCTTCCTCACTAACTGTACATGTTCTCAGTGTACAGTATTTGTTTTACTCACGTATAGAAACCTCTTCAGATAACTATCATTTCATTGGTTTAGATCTCTATCTGTTATGTGATTCTTTTGTTAGCAGTTTCATATTTCAGTCTCTTCTGAAATATTCATGCTACGTTGAAATTGCACTGAGAGTTAAAAATTAAAAGAAAAAAAAAAAAGCACTCACAATACTTACAGAAAAAAATGCTGTTAGAAACTTAACCTTTGTAAGTTGTTCAGCCCTACATTTCAACACCTTTAATTGTTATGGGTCATACACATTGTTCTTAAAGGCACACTGCATAACGTTTGTAGTGGAGGATCCGCCACTTGCTTAGCTCCCTGGAAATGTTATTTCTTTGTCTAGAATGTTCCACAGTATAGATTAAACCTATCTATCACAAGCAGGTTAGAGCATTGTTTCCCAAAGACTCTCAGGTGGGTCATAAGAGATTTTATTATTATTTTTATTTTTTTGGGTCGTCTTGTCACGATCTGCACGTAGGTCTGCAATATAAAGTTCTCAGACACTGATATCTGTGTTGCGCTCTCCTACTGCACCCTTACTGGAACACTCTACAAAAATGCAGACAGGCCACCTATCTCATTGGAAATGTTGAAATGTTGAAAGATGTTGAAACATGTTGAAAGACATGTTTTGTATAATTTTTTATCTTTTTGTAATTATTTCATTAACTATTTTGTTTCAATATTGCTGGTTCAATTGAATGTTAAAAAAAAAAGAAATGGGCTACATTTAATGACCAAAAAAGGTGACTTATGGATTTTTTTATTGCTGGTTCAATTATTGTTTTTCATAGTTTAAAACTTGAGTAATACTAATTGTTCAGAGAGACAATGCTCAACAACACACATCACTCAATAACAATAAAATATCCTCATTAATGTTCAATAATGGTCAAATCCATTTTTATTTTGTGATTTATGAATTACGCCTATTGACTTGGGTCATGAAGGTTTGTGACTTTTAAAACATGGGTCCCCAGAAAAAATGTTTGGGAACCACTGGGTTAGAGCACTACCCTACATTATAATTCAGATCTGTGGAGAGTCGCACCTATTCACTGAAGAAATGAATGTATTTCTGAGCAACAGAAACACCCATAATGAATAAACGCTAGATGGATATGTTTAAAGTCATACCATGGAACATTTTAGAGTAGCGGACCACCACCAGAAAAGTTGCACAATGCACCTTTAAGTTTGTCTAGTCCTATTATAAAAAAAAGTGTTTCATTTTAGCATGTGAAGGCTGTGGTGAATAGTTTTAGGGTCAGACACACCACACGTGCACAGAGTGGGTTCATGTGCAGAAGCAGCAGAAGACGGGGGATGGGGGGGAGCAAAGCTATTCAAGGACTTTGCACCTGCACCATTTCCTATTGACAACAGAGACACACTGCAAAAAAGGAAAATCAGCATGTTCTCATGTTGGATATTTAAAGACCATGTAAGACCATATAGGAGAAATATGAATGTTGTGCAAGGCAAAAGTTATGAGAGCGTAATATAATTGTAAGTAGTGAGAATGTCTTTCTCGTCATGGTAATTAACCACAAATCTGCAGGCATCTCAAACTAATAATAATTGTCATTGTTTGAGACCACATTGCTTCCTCCCTAAACCTTTTCCATTTTAGATATTTCTAATTAAAAGACAATGTAATCTTATTGTTGTATCATGTGTGATAACTATTCCTCTATATAAGTCTATATTTTATATACCACCCATACTTGGAGGAGGACATCAGGTCCTCAGACCTGGAGCAGGACATTAGGTCCTCAGACCTGGAGCAGGACTTCAGGTTCTCAGACTGAGAGAGGGTCTCAGGGTCCTCAGACTCAGAGAGAGGCTCAAGGTCCTCAGACTGAGAGAGGGGCTTGGGGTCTGGTACAGAGAGCTCCTCAAACTTGGAGGAGGATGTCAGGTCCTCAGACCTGGAGCAGGACATCAGGTTGTCAAACTTGGAGCAGGACTTCATGTTCTCAGACTGAGAGAGGGGCTCAGGGTCTGGAACAGAGGGCTTCTCAAATCTGGAGGAGGATGTCATGTCCTCAGACCTGGAGCAGGACATTAGGTCCTCAGACCTGGAGCAGGACTTCAGGTTCTCAGACTTGAAGCAGGATTTCAGGTTCTCAGACAGAGAGAGGGACTCTTGGTCCTCAGACTGAGAGAGGGACTCGTGGTCCTCAGACTGAGAGAGGGACTCGTGGTCCTCAGACTGAGAGAGGGACTCGTGGTCCTCAGACTGAGAGAGGGACTCGTGGTCCTCAAACTGAGAGAGAGACTCGTGGTCCTCAGACTGGGAGAGGGACTTGTAGTCTGCAATTGGTGCTGTGTAGACATCAGCATGTTTCTTTCCTTGAAAGAGCTCACAGACCTGTGCAGCTATGGCTCGGGTCACCAACATGACCAGGCCTTTGGAGGAGCAGCTCAGTTCAGTCTGCAGCCTCTGTATGGGGACTATGTGTGAGACTGTGTGGAGGACAGTCTGCACCATGAGGTCTCTGAGCGAAACAGTGAAGGACACAGTCTGCACCTGCTCTGTGCCCAGGCTTTGGAGAACTTTGTCCATTACAGCCTGGGCCAGGCTCAAAGTGGGAGCGCTCAGCTGGCTGGAGGACGTGCTGCTCAGGGCCGAGGAGGGAGAGGGTGGCCACAAACTCTCACAGACTTTAGTCACCAGTTCCAGGACCACGTCCTGAGGAGACAGCTCAGACTGAGACAGGACACCCATATCCTCAGACTAAAAGAAGGACTCAGGGTCTGGAATAGAGGGCTCCACAGACTTGGAGGAGGACTTTAGATCTTCAGACTTAGAGCAGGACTTCTAGTCCTCAGATTTAGAGAAGGACATCTGGTCCTCAGACTTGGTGGACATCTGGTCCTCAAATTTAGAGGAGGACGTCTGGTCCTCAGATTTAGAGAAGAACGTCTGGTCCTCAGACTTGGAGGAGGACTTCAGGTTGTCAGACTTGGAGCAGGACTTAAAGTCTGAAATCAGTTCTTGGTAAACATCAGCATGTTGCTGTGCTTCAAAGAGTGCACAGACCGGTGCAGCTACGGCTCGGGTCACCAACATGACCAGGTCTTTGGAGGAGCAGCTCAGCTCAGTCTGCAGCCTCTGTATGGGGACTATGTGTGAGACTGTGCGGAGGACAGTCTGCACCATGAGGTCTCTGAGGGAGACAGTGAAGGACACAGTCTGCGCCTGCTCTGTGCCCAGGCTTTGGAGAACTTTGTCCAATACAGCCTGGGCCAGGCTCACAGTGAGAGCGCTCAGCTGGCTGGAGGACATGCTGCTCAGGGCCGAGGAGGGAGAGGGTGGCCACAAACTCTCACAGACTTTAGTCACCAGCTCCAGGACCACCTCCCACGGAGACAGCTCACAGGGGAAGCTGGCGCTGTATCTGTTGGAATGCAGCTGCATTTGTCCACCTTAGGTGTCTTTGTACACCGCAGTGTCCAACATCTCCTTAAATACCCTCACTGGCTCAGTGCCATTGTTGCTGTTGTTACTTTTAAGGACACCCATGCTGCCAGCACAGTGTTTGTTAAAACAAGCAACAGTAAAAACACACAAAGAGACCAGTGAATATCGATAAAGAACCAAACGAACAGAGAGACTGAAAATGCGACCTGCACCAACGAGTCCAACTCAAGAAATTACTGTTTACTGTAAAGGTTGGTGCATTTTGGTGAAAACGGAACACTCTGGTTGCCATGGCGTTGCCAGGCTACAGGTCCTGGAATTTGCATATTCAGATATTCTACACAGGTCCTGACTGCAGCAAATACAAACAAAATAAACAAACTGTGATAAAGGGCCCTCCCAAGCCTTGTGGCAGTGGAAGGGTAGTAGGGGGGGCTTCATTTCTGGCTTGATTTTAATTAATATATATAAGACAAAATTATTGCAGTTGTTTCATAGCATTTCTATATAATGTACGTTCAGTTTGAATGGTTCAAAATTACAAATGTTTCAGTGACACAATTTTCTCTGCAAACAAATAAATATTCCATCTTATTGGTCTGTTAATCTTGTACTTTAGACTGAAATACATAGAAGTCTTGGGTTATTTCAGGCCAAATTTCAATCTTCTCTCAAATGGTAACAGACAGTAAAGATGGCCATGCTTGTAATGTAAACACTTAAAATGAAAAAGTAAAAAGCTCTCATTTAGAATAAAACTCCTTTAATGGTTACATGGGACTAGTCATCTCCATCGTCTGTCAGCTTTTGAGCATTATTCTTGAGGAGGACCTGTGTGGACTTTTAACTAAGATATGAAGCTCTCACTTCCTCTGTGTGCTTCTCTCAAATATGTTTAAAAGTTGCACAAAAAATCTAAGTCTAACAATTATTTTACTAGCCGATTTTTTCAATTAGTAAACTATAGTCAAATGGTTATTTCCATTGTACAGTGAAAAAATGTAGTAAAACGTAGTGTCAGTGAGTCAACGGGGTGATCTACAGGTGCTCTGTTCAGATGTGGCCAAAAGATATTTTAAAAACGGAACACGACTGACCTGGCCAATGCTGCCAAAAGATGTGCAGCTATCAAAAAGAGATCTAAAACACTCATCTACATCTATCTGTCACGCATCTATGTGATACTGGTTTCGGTGATGATACTGAAAAATTTCCTGGATTCAACTGATATTTTGTTTGGACATACTTGTAAATTTATGTAATAAGAATATTTACCTGGGATGCGACAATATCCACATTACTTGTTACGAAAAATGTGAATATGGTGACTGAAGACTTGTAAATAGAGAAAAAAATAAAAAATAAATGTAAATGTATAAATGTACAGATTAATTAAAAAACATTTAGATTTAATAACATTTACATTTTTAATTATAAAAACTGATATAATGTAGGTCCTTTGTATGTGTTTGTATGGTCCAGATAACGATGTTGTTGCTTTGTTTATATTCCACAGTATGGCAATAAACACATTTATTTTGCATTATTCAAGGAATTATTCAAATGCCTTGAAAAACACGCATTCCTACTGTGCATAGGGGTCGCCCCTTCACAGATCTTTCCTGTAACTTGGTCTGGTGGAACTACCTACAACTATCTACATCCTCAAAGACAAGCAGGTGACATCACACCACAAGAAAAGTTACATAGTGCACCTTTAAAATACAACTATGATTATTTTTTATGGTCGACTAGGCACAATTAATGGATTAATCACTGCAGCGCTACTGTCAACAGAATCCTGAAACTAAAACAGAGAAATCTATAGACAAAGGCTCAATTAAATGCTTAAAGCCATATTATTATTGAAAAGTTATTGAAAAAAGTCATAAGCATCTACAGTCAAATAATCAAGGCCAATCACAAACAAATACTCAAATTAAGATCCTGAATTCAAGTCATTTTAACTAATGTATATTTTCCAGAGGTGGGTTAGTTACATTTACTCATATACTTGTAATTGAGTAACTTTTTAAAGTAATTGCACTTTTCTAGCAGCATACTTTTACTCTTAAAAGTAAAGATTTTGGTTACTCCTCCCATTGTTCGGTAAGTCTACAAGTGACAACAGCTTTACTATGGTGACAATATGAAATGACATTTGTGTTTCTTGCACCTCTCCTTCAGATATAATGTAGTTTTTCTTATTTAAATTTTTGAAAATACCAGATTTGATGCATTATTTAAAGGTGCGCTGAATGCTAGTGGAAGGTCCGTAGGGTAATTCAAGACAGCCCCGAAATCTAAGAAGTTGTCCCGAATCCCGAATCCGGCCCTAAATGTCCCGAAAATTACACTCAAACTGAATACTGAGTTATTTTCTGATAAACATTAAAAACTGTTCATAGAGAAGCTGAGTTGACTGTACACAGCCCCTGACGGCTTCTAAGAGGCCACGTGCAGCCCCGATATATTTTGTTTATTTTTTGACATTCTACAATTAGGTGCATGCGAGACGACGATAAGATAATTTTTGATTACTCTCCCCAGCTCAGAGATATTCCTGTTTTGCAGTGTATTATAACATCTAGAACAGCTGTGTTTTTGTTTGTGCAATAACAAAACATGTGAAATGCCAAATTACCGTTAACTTCTTCTTCGGGTTGTGTAAAGTTTCCATCGGGCACCACTGACGAATTTGTTGGAGGCACTTGTGTCGTTGAATTAAACAAAGCTGAAAGAGAAAAGAACGTAAGGTACAGTATGAGAAATTTTGATTCAATTTGTATTAAAGGTCCTCTATTATACAAATTTAACTCTTGTGATCTTTTAGCCATGTTAGAATATTGTACTTCATCAAAAACATGCTTGGAAGTCAGTCACACATATTTGAGTAATCCTGGTTTATTAATATTCAAGGTCTGAAATCATCCATATATTTCAATCCAGATGAAATACGCAGGGCTTGTGTATTAACTATGAATGATGTCAATAAAACACAACTCCAGGTATTTTTGTGATGAGGAAACATTATAACAAAGATCAGAGAATAGCAATATATTGGCTCTTTAAAATATATAGAAAACTATGAAGTGCCACTTTAAGGAGGACATGCTAAAAGCCGTGAGTGATGTGGTTTAAGTTTTATGCAAATACTTGACCACCCTGCCACAAAACAAACCAGAGACATTATAATATATACGTTATATAATTACATAACTTTACATAATAACATTAATTTGCTGAGGGTAAATAGGCTAAACAATAATATTAAGAAAACATAAAAAATAAATATTAACTTTGTGCATGCTAAGGTTACAAAAATAAATAAAAGTAGAAATAGAACAAAAATATTCATTAAGGTTTTAGTGGATTTAAATTACAGTCAAGTGTTAATTCTACATTCTGCATATAACTATAACTCTAGTAATTAAAACTGTGTAAATTTTAAAGCGTATTACCTTGACAAATAGAGCTGAGTTGAAGAAGTAAAATCCATTTAACACACTTCATGTTGACAGTGACAGTTTCTCGGTGAGCACAAAGGGGCTATAGTTTTTGTTTTCCCTGACGGCTCTGAACAGGAAGTGAAATTCAAGATTCTGACACTGATAAATCATTCGCTGTCAGTCGTCCCTTTTATTCCGTTTTAAACTTTGACAAAATAATATGGAAGCTGTAAAATGTTTTTGATAAGACTTTTTTAAAAGGTGCACTATGTAAATTCTAAGGTGGAGGGTCAACATTTACGTTGGAGTATATAACTCATGTTAACAAAAATAAAATATGAAGGTGCTACGAGAATAAAGCCGTAACATTTCAACATTAAAATCTAAATTTTATGAGAATAAAATCATAGTCAAAGTAAAGAGGGAATTTTATCAAAATTTAAGGGCTGGCATCGAGGTCAAACACAAAGGAGCAATTTGCCATCATAGCGTATAAGACGCGCTTATTTGAGCTACAGTTTTTTTTTATCGTCTAACTTTTTGGATAATTTTGGTTTAGTTTGATCATGTGATTCAAGCATATATCTGAACAGGAGCACAGGTGGTCAGATCATTTGTAACATTTCTCTTCAGTTCACACAGTTCTCAGCTTTTGTTCTTCTCATGCTTCTAAAAGAGCACAGAAAAAGACAAGACCAGAGTATGAACATTTTGATGGTAAAACTTGATTTCGGGAGATCAGTTTTGAAAGAAAAACTGCATTTTGCTCAATTTTGTTTAGGAAAATAAAAGCGACAAAGCAATAAAAAATGTAAAAGCTTAAGTCAAAACCTATGTATGATGGATGTAGACTTTTTATAATGCGGGTCTCTTTAACAATGTCCAGAATAATTTCCCGGGACTGACCCCCATGTGCTGCTGTAGCTGAGTGCTCCTGGGCAGGACACCGTGCGCCCATCAGAGCCAAAAATGGAGACTCACCATTAATCTGTTCCTTTGGCTTTGAGCTTTCGACCCTTGTTTTGAATACAACTTTATTCTTGTACCGCCCATGTAATTTATTTTTTTAATCTGACCCTTATACTCTGTCATAGATATTTGCTTGTCTCCACTGAAAATAAACATTTACACATGTCTAACGCACAAATCCCGCATATTTACGCTGTTCCTCCTTGTGATGTCATGTGGTAATGCGGGAAGTGCTCCACTGTGTTTTTAAACTCCATACACCTTCACTAGAATTTATGACATCACAAGGTGGAACAGAGCATTTTGAGCGTTGGAGATGTAGACAGACTAATAATAAAAGATTACTCCAATGTGTGTGGATTAAACAAAACACAACTCTTGGTATGTTTGTGATGAGGAAACTTATAATTGTAATATAGATCAGAAAATAGTGCAATATGGGCCCTTTATACTTTTATCTTAAGTTTTACTTTTAGTCAAAAGGACATACCGTTTGGGCCTGTGGGTAAACGTCTTTCTTGAGCTTTATTTATGTCGAGTCTAATCTTTTGGCGACATCAGCTGGAGTTATTGAAGATTGCATTTACTCAAATTTTCATGTAGATTTTCTTCTTCTTCTTTCATATACCTGCAGTGTAAAAATAAGTTCAATGATAATTCCAACTAAAAGAAAAGACAATACATGTAGGTAATCCACATCCTTATAGTAAATAAAGCTCACCTTTGTTGAAATTTAGCACTTTAAAATCTCATATCTCCTTTGTTTACATCCGGCTCAAGCACCACGCGCTCAATTCCCCTCTCTTTCTGATTGGTCCCCTCCTTAGCTATCAGGAAGTAGCCATGTATCTATTAAATAAACTACATTGAAAAAATTAATTAAATAGGCCTAATAAAAACCCTATTTACGTTACAAACTGTCGTAAAAAATAAATCTCTGTAATTATTGTTATGATTTTTTTTATTTATTTTTTTTATTAAGACTGTTGGCGCATACTCCCAATGTTTAAAAGCATGCTGGATGGAGATTATGCTACATTTTATTTCCAAATATATAGAATAAACGGTGTTAAATGACTCTGGTCTTCACTATCAGGAGACTAGAGTAGATTTTGCGTTATTTAGCATTATGACAAATTCCCTAATCTAATTTACAAAACAAATTTACACTAAAGTTTAGTTAAAATGTTAAAATAAAGACAATCAAATAATTATAACAGCGAATAAGTGAAGTGCAAAACATAAACTCATAAAAACGCACAAAATTCATAAACATACCTTATTTTACGCGCGGCTTGTCGGGGCTGGTCGTACGCATGCGCAGTTCCTGTCTGTGGTTCTTTATTTGGCGGCAGCGGCATCTCCAAACTTCAGGACTCACAACAGCGGAGGTGAGGAGCAAAACTGGGCTTTGTAGCATTTAAAGGGCTTTTATTCTCACTTTTATTGCACATATCGGTCTGCTGTAGCGTTATATTAGCGGATTAGCCATAGGTTTGTGCAAAGATAATATAGTTGAGTGGTTATTTCTAGTGATGCTTGGCTGCTTCATTTATATTCTGCAACTTTTGGATTAAGTTTTACTAAAATGTATAATTTGAGTAGTATTTTGTGAGTATGTAATGTGTGGTTGCTTTTCTTCAGACTCATCTTGCTATAGTTCATAAATGCTTTGTTATAATTAGAAATATGCACATGTGTAGTGGACTTAAAGGTGCATTGTGTAACTTTTTTGGTGGAGGGTCTGTCAAATGCTTTTCTCCCCCAAATGTTTGTCTTTGTCTGGAATGTTTCACAGTATGGTGTTAAAAGTTTCTATCTTCATGTAGACCAAACCAGACCAAGTTACAGGTCAGATCTGTGGAGAGATGACCCTGCTCACTAGGGGTGTGCAAAAATATCAAAATATTGATATATCGAATAGTTTAATGTGATGATACAGTATCGATATCGGGGGCTGCTGTATCGATATATCTCCAAGAGTATTTTTTGGTATATTTTGTTTATTTATTTTGTTACAGTGCTACAGTTTTGTTGCTTGTTTAGTGGAAGGAAACTTGTTTATGCAACATATTTGACATTTTCACTATTTGATGAGTAAAATGTGTTTGTGTTTCATAAGAACTTTGCACAAGAGGTTTAACAAAGGTTTAACAAAGACTTTTAGTATCACAGCCATGATTTAGCCTTTATTTTTTATTGAACTGTATTAAATCGATTTGAACTATATCGTATCAAATCAAAAGTGCACTGTATCGGGGTATGTATCATAACGGCAACTTCTTAATGATACCCAGCCCTACTGCTCACAGTCAGAATGCCTGTTTTACTAGGGATTTTTGAGCTATAAAACCACCTGTAACTGAATAAATGTAAGGTAGAGCTGCTTAATGTCATACTGTGAAAGATTTCCTGCAGAGGAATGACATATCCATAGAAAAAAAACAGGTAACAGACCCCCAACCAAAAAGTTACATAGTGCACAGAGTCATAATATGTGATATTTATGCTTTAACTTCTTTGCTGTTGCTGTGCTTTGTTTTTGCAGGTCACAGTAGTGGAAAGAATGACAAAACACAGGCAAGTCATTCAAGGTCACCCCAAATATGTACAGCTACTCGTATGTATTGTGAATTTGATGGGAACTTGTTTTTTTCAGCAGTCGTCAGCAAAAACGTTCTGAAAAAGTGTCAACACACAAAGCCAAAGCTGTGAAGGTAAAATTACAATGTTTACAAATGTATTTACAAATAATAGTAAATAAATAGTAAAAAGAAAAAAGGACCTAGATATACAAAATTAAGAAATGAAAGTGAAGAATTTGCCTTTGTGTGCTCTTCATATATCTGCCAACTCAACATATTTTCATAAAAACAAGTTGTGCACATGAATTCACATTAATGTATGGGGAGGCCTGTCACGATAATACATTTTTAAGTTCAATATATATTGCTGAAGTAAATATAGAAGATAAGCAAAAATATTGAAACTAATTTATGCCACCAACACGATAACGATAAGAGCAGATTTAAACCACAAAAAACTATTCAGAATGAAACACTTTAGTACTCAGTTTGCATTTGTAATGACTCATAGAAGTTATTGATTCTAAATCTTATTATATAGTCAGAAAATAAACACAAATTTAGTGCAAAGAAAATTTCACATGATAAATATTGATCCCAAAAAATGTTGTTCCGGCTTTTATATATTGAAAGATGAGTTGATATCGGAATTATCTTGAGAGGGCTACGTATTTATTCTATGAATTGGATTAAATCGCATGTTAGACCTTCAACATTAAACAACATTAAAACTATACTGTGTTTCTGACAAGAGAATTGGATAAAAAAAGGTTTATTTCAATAGAATTATGCAAAATGTACTTTTTAAGCAAATTATAATTCCACTAATATGTTTTGTAGAGTAATAAGAAAAAGTCCCAGTCTTCTTCAAACCCACAGTATGAAAAGGTATTTGTTATCAGTTGGACATGTCTCTTTTGTTTGTTGTTTTTTATAAAAATGTAGTGTTTAAAATGTTGTACTTTTCAGAGCACCGTGATTCTTGAAGGTGTCGATGTCCCTTGTGTCCTTGTTTCGTCTCCAAAGAAACAGAATCATGTTTCAGAGGCAAATCACACGGAGGTTTCTTCCACACAAACTCCTCAGTCCAATCCTGTGTAAGTATTATGTAGTTAATTTCTTCAGTCCTGTTTTTTTATTGTGTAGTTAATTTCTTTAAATCTACAAAATTTTAAAATGCATTTGTCTCACCCTGCTGTGGTCTCCCTCGAGGATTGGGACAAACTTTACTTTAGGGGGGCGGATGTATTCAGTTGAAATCTCACCCTACTGATAAGAGGGTAAGATTTCAACTGAACACCCACCCGCCTAAAGTAAAGTTTGTCTCACCCTGCTGTGATCTCCCTCGAGGGTTTTTCTGGGGTCTAATTGGGACAAACTTTACTTCAGGGAGGTGGTTGTATTTGGTTGAAATCTTATTAAATGCTATTATTGTGAGATGAAAACCTCACAATTTACAATGATTCACAATTATTAACACCACAATGAAACAACAACCGTGGAATTCTTAATTCACTTTCATTACAGTTTAACATTGGCTCACACCAGACTGAGGTGTGTGTCTCTCTAAAGTGAGTTCTAAACACTATCAGTTTGTTATGGGTCTTGCTGAAAGGGAACAGAGAATGCAGAACATCATGACGACTATTTGAATATGATCAGTCAAAGCTTCACAACAGCGGAACAAGCTGAAAAATCTGACTTTTGTTAAATCCAGTTCAGAGAAAAGTACAGACAGCTTCCCTCTCCATAAATGCTCAAAGCGCTTAACCTTCTGCATGTTTGTCAAGTCAAGTCAAGTTAGTGTGATGTAAATGCAGGGTTCCCACGGTCATGGACATTCTGGAAAAGTCATGGAAATGAAAATGTAATTTTCCAGGCCTAGAAAAGTCATGCAATTTTAGTATCTTTTTTGCGCGACTACACCGTTCTGTTATCATTAGGCTATTATGATTATTTCCGAACATTTGCACCTTTTGTTTAAAAGAGACGGCAATAAATGCAGTGACAGTATTTGACAGTAAATATATATATATAATCCCAAACCATAAGGTGAGTGGAAAGGGTTAACATTTCATATTTAGGCATAAAAGTATAGGTGATTCTACACATGTAGGTGCCATAAAGTCATGGAAAATTCACTTTAGGTCATGAAAAAGTCATGGAAAATTTCTGGAATTTTGTCAGTGAAAAAGAGGTGGAATCCTGTGGAAAAAAAAGCACTTAACATTTAGAGCTACATTTTTGGATTTGATGATTGCATTTTTCCCCATACTGCTCAAACTCAATTTTAGACACCATTTTATGCTGACTGTCTTTCTCCTCTGTTGCTCAGATGGGGTCCCTGTAACGTTTGGGTGAAGACTGCTGGTCATAAAAAGAGCAAATGTTTCCAGCTCAAACATCCCAGAGTCAACCCCAACACGAGATCCATCCTGATCGACTGGCTAATGGAGGTACGTGTTCACAGAAATACATTAATAATACTCTAATTACCCCAAAGAATAATGAATAATGAATGTATCAATAGTTTAAAAAGCTTTTATTTCATCTGACTCTGTAATTTGTGGTAGGTTTCTTTTTACCCCTCCTGGCAACTCAAAAACCCATATTGCGCCATTTTCTGATCTATGTTTATAATGTTGAGTTGTGTTTTGTTTCATTCACACGCTCAACTCAGAAACCCTTCCTCTCTCAAAGAAAAAAACACTTTGTTCTACTTTATTGATGTCATGTGGTAATAGAACAAGTGCTTTGCTGTGTTTTAAACTTAAACTTAAGAACTAAACACTCAAAGTTTAGAGTCAGTTTTGTATAATATATGGGTTCTTGAATGAAATAAGCAATTGACCAAAAAGCAGTTTAGTTTTAATGAGATAGCTCTGTCTCTCTCTGATTTTGTATACGTTTATTTTTTTTTATATATATAAATATTTCTTTTCTCTGCTCAGGTGAGTGAGGCGTACACTCTACACAGACAGACCTTTTATTTGGCGCAGGATTATTTCGACCGCTTCATGTTGACGCAGAAAAACATCGAGAAGAATCTTGTGCAGCTCATTGGGGTCACCTGCCTCTTCATCGCCGCAAAGATGGAGGTGAGCTGAAGAATGGAAATTATGATGAGTCTATAAACGGCAATGCAGTGACAATGTTCCACTGGTGCCACCATAGACTGTAGAAAGAAGTGGACTAAACTAACGGAGTATGACGTCATCCATAGCACTTGACTCCAGGCAAATTAACTCGAGGCTAGCCAAGATCCATATTAAGAACGGACAAAATTGCTAAATAAAATCACAAGGATCATGTAGAACAGGTTAATACGAACATGTTAAGACCAAAATGACGAGGCTCACAGCAGCAGCTACAGAGAGACAATATTCAATGTTAAGTCTTATCGGAGCCAGAGTTGATGGGCCGGAAGTGTCTCCATGCTCATTTCCTTTTTGAACACTTCCTTTTTGAACACTGTGGCTATCGGGTTAGCTATGTCTATTTATATAAACAGTCTACGAGTCCCATGTGCAACTTAGATTAGAAGACCAAGTCAAGTTTTCTATTTGTTCATTTTTTGGCATACATTTTGACCATACGCATTCCACTAATCACAGCAGAGAAAGGCGTCCTTAATTATTCAAATGTTTTGCAGGATTAAATTGTCAAATTAAAATATTTATCATAATTTGTATCCTGTAGAGGTGGAATAACAATTAATTTTAATAGTTCAAGTGCTTTTGAAAGACTTAGCAATACAAAATGACAAACAAATCCAACATTGTAATAATTGTATAACTGTAAAATAATGGTACAAACATTACACAGAGATGGGCAGATCATTACAGATATTATGAATGTTGTTGAATATTGAGTATTTTGTTTATTTTAAAAAATGTTGCAAAAAGAACCGATTAAAAATAGGGAAGTTGTAAACCTCCAAATAAGGGCGTGACCTGATATTTCTTCACTTCAGGCTAATTGTAACTGATACTTTCACAACAGGTTTTAGCACATTTCTGTTGGGTTAGGGTTTTGTTGGGGACATAGTATTGACACTCTGCAGCTGATGCCATCAACTTTACCCGTAATGTAGACTCATTCGTTACTCTGTTCAATAGGATAACTTTTTTTTTTCTTTTTTAATAGTGGGAAATTTGTTATATACTGCATATTACCAGTCAAAAGTTTCATTCAGTGTTTTGTTTCTTTTTTCTTACTACTTTCTACATTTGATATACACACAGACGACATGAAATATATGAAGTAAGATGTATGGAATTATTAAGTAAAGAAAAAAAGTTGCTGCTAAATATTTTTTGACAAAGCAAAAGGTATAAATATTTAACTTTTTTTTTTTGCTACATAAATCCATATGTCATATATTTCATGTCTTCTGTTTGTATATCAAATAAAAATAAATAAATAAATAACTAAATGGTAAAACAGAAAAACAAACACTGAATGAACTTTTGACCTGTCGTGTATATTATGTTATTTATGTTCTGTGTTTTAGGAAGCCTGCCCTCCCAAACTCTCCCAAATGGCTTATGTTACTGCTGAAACCTACTACGAAGACGAGATTCTTGAAATGGAGATGCTCATTTTGAATGTAATACTTACTTTTTAACCTGCTTGTTATAGGTTAATCCTGTTTTGTTTCCTAGTTTAGGTTATCTTGTCTATATTTTTTAGACCACATTTATTATTCTACCTTTTGTTACCTCCATAACCTTTGCTGAGCTGGGTCGTGACACCGTCATGCCAATCGCTATTTCATCTTTGCACTTTTTTGTTTGTTCTTACTCACCACTTGTTTATAGCTGAGATATATTTGTATTACTATATTTCTATATTTAGTTTCTAATTGTGCATATACATTTATATAATCATGCCTTTTTGACACGAGTCTCTTGCTATTTTTGCTATTTATTTTGAATATTTATATTTCTGCCCTTTGTTATTTCATTATATTATATTGTGATGTGTGAGCTGCTGTGTCCAAATAATTTCTCTTGTGGATCAGTAAAGTTTGTCTAAGTCTAAATATTTTATTCATGAAGATTTTGCCTTTATGAATTTACCATATTATATTTTTCTCAGGCCTTAGAGTGGAATCTCTCCCCAGAAACGGCAGTCTCGTGGCTCCAGCTTTATTTCCAAATGGTTTCTATGAACCCAAACTCAGATCTGATGGAGCCACAGTTCCCCCAGGACACATATGTGCAAATGACAAAGGTCTGTTACAAAATGGTTTATTTCTTGAGACAATAGTGGCCCCAGTTGGTCAAAACCGTCTATTTATCTATTGATATGATGATATAGCTCAATAAGATAAGAGAGCATAATGAAAAAGAAACTTGAAACTAAACATTATTACATTATTAAAATTAATACATTATTTTCTGATCTACTGTATGTTATAATTTTGTTTTCTCATCAAAAACAGACCTGGAGTTGTGTTTTGGTTCATTCACACATGTTTAACACACAAACACTGGATATTTAGACTGAGTTCTTCTCTTAAATGAAAAACACTGTTCCACTTTTAATACAGAAAGTGCTCCATTGTGTTTTTAAACTCCATACACCTTCACTAGAATCAGTCGGATAATTTCACCCCTTGCATTGCCGATCTAAACTAAAGGTAGAAGGAGCTGTTAACTTACAAACAACCACTTCATGACATCACAAGGTGGAACAGAGCATTTTAAGCTTTGGAGATATAGAGAAACTTGAACATGTGTGAATGAAACAAAACACAACTTCAGGAAGTAACCGTATTATAACATAACTTAAAGCTCACAAGACTGCAATTTTGCGTAATATAGGAATAGAGTAAAGACACAAAAGGCATCAAATGAATAAAAAAATGGCACAAGGCAAGTAAAGGAAAAACTATGAGGCTACAACACTCTTATATACAACAAGTAAACACGACTGATTACAGTACTGCATATGGGCAACTAAAGAACAAATTGCCAAGTGATTTCAGTGTCATTAACATTTTTTTAAGAACTGTGGTTTCTTCTAAAAATGTTACTAGATATGGGAAGCAAAATGTATAATTTATTGTTCTCCTTGTATTTATGCATTCATATTTTTAAACATTCTCATTCTTATCTTTTTTTTTCCCCCACAGCTTTTAGATTTGTGCATCATCGACATAAACTCTATGGACTTTGAGTACAGAGTTTTAGCTGCTTCTGTTTTATGTAATTTTGTGCCGCAATCCGCTGTGGAAAAGGTTTCAGGTAAGGGCCTGGATAATTTTTGTCAGTACTTTTTACGTTTGAACTAATTTGGTTGCCGTGTATATCTTTTGTATTATGTTTTTCTTTTTAACTATGGACAGAGTAATATTTGTGTCTGAAATAAAGAATACATTTTTAAAATGCACCATTGTTCACATAAGATAATGTTGAAATGCTGAACATGGTAGGTGTATAAAATGATGTGATTATTTATTTTGGGGTTAAAGAGCTCATATTAAATTATTTTCTAATCTACGTTGTGTTTCCTCACCAAAACAGACCTGGAGTTGTGTTTTGTTTGATTCACACATGTTTAACACACAAACTGCATATATTTAGTTCTTTTCTCAAACTGAAAACTCTCTATTACACCTTGTGATGTCATGGGGTAATACAGGAAGTGCTCCACTGTGTTTTTAAACTTCATATGCCTTCACTAGAATTATCTGGATGATTTCGACCCTGGAATTGCCAATTTCTATAGAACTAAAGGTAAAGATAGCTTGTAACTTGAAAACTACCGCTTCATCACATCACAAGGTGCAACAGAGCATTTTGAGGTTTGGACATTATAGAGACTAATAAAGGATTACTCAAATATGTGTGATTGAAACAAAACACAACTCCAGGTGTGTTTTTGAAAATGTAAATGATGATATGGCTAAAAGCTCACAAGAGTCAGTTTTGCACAATATAGGATCTTTAATTCTTTACATTTTTGGCGTTTGATTCAGGTTTGTCCAAAGACGTTCTCCAGCCCTGTTTGAAGTGGATGGCTCCTTTTATGAAGGCAGCTCAACTCTTTGGTAAAGTTCCACTGAAGGACTTTAAAAATGTGAAGCCAGAGGACAGACACAACATCCAGACACACACAGACTACCTGGGCATGCAGGTGAGTGAACGCTTCCTCTATAAGTTAATGTCAGCAACCAAATGCTGTAGATCACACTTCAGACATTTGAATTTGACCAATATTCCTCCTGACTATGACTTGTTGTATTAATACAGGTAAGATTCCTGTCCAGACATAGACTACATTTTAAATAACTTAGTGAATAACTTAATTGAATCTCAATGATGATTTTTAATTCCAACACCTCATTCCAGTTGTTTTAAACCTATAATATATAAACTAATACCTAAACCCCATCAACCATATATTGAGAATGAGAAAAAAGGTTTTAGTTATTTTTAAAACATTAAGAGCACAGGCTATATATCCTCCATTTAAAACTCCAATTTATGTGTATCTTTTGGAGAAAAAAAACAAAAAAAAAAAGGCTAAGTAAACTAATGACAAATAAATATATAATGACAAATCTTTTTGGGAATTTTTTTATTTTTCATTTTTGGTTATTTCTATTATGATTTCATTAATGTTACATGTTTCATTGTATAAGAATGTAAATCTCTTACTTGCCCAAAATAAATACATAAATAAAATGACCATTAAATAAACTAAACTAAACTAAACTGTCTGACCTGGTAATTGGTGAAAGTTTTTTTATTATTCAGTGTAGGAATTTCAAAAATATATTTCTACAGACTTACAAAATTACCAATTGAGCTAAACCCATACCCACTGTATAAATGGACATAGACCCCCTACCAGCCTTGTTCCAAATGGGAAGTGAGCACGGGCACGCTTCTGGCTCCAATTCACTTTGTATTGAGAAAACGTGGCCCATCTCTCTGTAACTGCTGCTGTCATGCTCGTCATTTTGGTCTTAAAATGTTCATATTAACCCGCACTACATGATCCTGGTGTTTTTATTTTGTTAATTTGTCTTTAAATAAATTCCCAGATAAATTCCCATTTATTATTATTATTAATTTGTCACTCATTCAGTTCACTTTTTTTATAGTCTATGGCTAAACCTGATAATGAATAAGTTGTATACACTCTTATGTCTAATGTGCCATTTGTCCCACTTTATTTTCCAGATGATCGCATGTAAAGACCAGTAAAAAAATGTCTTAACTCTCCCAAACCGCTCAGAGAAAATGCACTGAAAATGAACAACCAACAAAGTATCACAGGACTGATAAAAGGAAGCAACGCCAAACCTGAACTTGATGTGAAACCTTTTTTTTTTTATTGTGACCAAAGACTTTTTGCTGCTTTAGTAAAAATGTATTTGTGTGTTAAATGTGCAATGTTCCTATCAGATGTTCTTGGTTTCAGGGTGATTTGAATTGTAGTTTTAAATAATTTTAACAGTGTATATAGATAGATTTTCTCCTAATTATGTGCATTGTCTTAAAGGTGCTTTGTGTAACTTTTCGCCATGTAGATATTATTGCTTTGTCTGGAATGTTTCACAATATGGCATTAAACCTTTCTATCTTCACGGACAACAAACCAGACTAAAGTACAAGGTCAGATCTGTGGAGAGGCAAACCCGCTCACAGTATGTTTTTGTAGGTATTTTTAAGCTATAAAATCACTTGTAATTGAGTAAATGTAAAGTAGATACTGTGGAACATTCCAGACAGAAAAATGACACCCCCATAGAAACAAGCAGGTGATGGACTCTCCTCCAGCAAAGTTACACAATGCACCTTTTAAAATAGTGCGCTGTAATGAAATAACTCAGGGTATTAATTGCTTTTTGAAATGAAACAAATGTACTGCTGTATTTATAAAAGAGGTTTATTTTATAACACAAAATAAATGTACATCTTTTTTTTTTTTTTTTTTTTTAGAAATACAGTTTGGCCATGGCTTGTAAAAAACGCTTTTTCCTCTTCTGAGCAGCCAGTTGTAGCACCTCCTCAGGGTTACTGGTGTTAAGCTCACTCTGTCCAATTGCTTTGACCTGGAATAAAGGGAAAATGTAAAGAAACTACAAAAACGTGTCTTTAGGATCCGTCAGTTTGAGATTTGTCCAAAAGGCAGGTACATTTTCTGAAGCTATACAGGGTATTGAATTGCCAAGGTTATAACTGTAAGGTTTATCTTTTTTTTTTTGTGGATAAATCTACTTCAGTGTAATAAATATTCATAATAAGCATTAATTCATGTTGCTCGTTTGTTAAAAGTACAAAAACTATTTAATTTCAAGGACTTATAACGGAGATCAGAGCATAGTGTAATATAATATTTCCTCACCACAAACAGACCTGGAGTTGTGTTTTGTTTCATTCACACATGTTTAACACACAAACCTTGCACACCAAGTCTGAGTTCTCTCAAAAAGAAAACACTGTCCCACCTTGTGATGTCAGGAGGTAATACAGGAAGTGCTCCAGATAATTTCAGCCCTGGAATCTACTGAAATTGAAAACTACTGCTTCATGACATCAAAAGGTGAAACAGAGCTTTTTGAGCTTTGAAGATGTAGACAGACTAATAATAAAGTATTACTTAAATGTGTGAAAGAAACAAAACTCTACAGGTCTGTTTTTGAGGAGGTAACAGAATTTAAACATGGCTTATATCTCACATGAGTCAATTTTACGTAATGGCTTCTTAATCCAAACAATTTGCCATTTCAAAGATGAGGTTTTCTCATGAATTTCCATATTTAGTGGACAACAAATTATATTGGACTTATGATCAAAATATCAAGAATAGTTAACCAACCAAGCCAAAATTAAACATGATTAAGAAAGATTTGCTTACTGCAATCTGTCTCTTCTCAGCCTCTCCTCGTTTGTGGTGGATGTCTTCAGTACAAGTCAAAGATCAGAACATCTAAAAATTTCCCCATTAAAAACTTTTGTACTTCTGGTGATTTTTATGTATTTTATAGAACTTGAACTTTAAAGGATACGTGTGAGGTATTCCAAGATGGTGACGTCCCAGATGTAGTCGTAAAAAGAATCCATGGCATCGTGACTGAAAAGATAAAAAGAAATTTCAGTGTACAAGTTGTAAATAATAAAAGTAAAAGTTGGGGGGGGTGAAAGGACAGAGAAAGTTTAATTATAATTTTAGCTTTACCTGTTTTGTTCCTGAAGAGCTTTGAATGCCGTCATGTAGTCCACTTCTCTCAGAAACTGGCACAAAACAGCCACCTGTGAAAAACATTGATCAAATTATCAGTGGTGTGAGAAGTACTTAATTGTATTACTTAAGTAAAAGTACAAATACTGGAGCAAAAAAATAGTAAGTAAAATTACCACATGAAAAAAATCTACTTATGTATTTACTCTATGTACCTGTTTAAAAGTGGACTTAAAGAGTAAAAAGTATATATTATAGTATTTCACACAGATTTCCAGATCTAATAAAGTGTTGATGTACTGTGATAAAGATTTGTGCTGAATTTTGTTCAATAGAAACAATTGAATCAGTATTTTTTTTACTACCTGTTTTTATTTGTATATTATTGTTTTCTCAAAATATGAACATACTAAAACTAAACCCAGCCTTTTCAGCAGGTCTCAAACTATAATAAAAAAAACATTTACTTTTCAGTCCGGTTCAAAACTGTAGTGGAGGAGAAAGTACAGACACCTGCTCTCAGATGTAGTGAAATAAAAGTGAAAAGTACTTCCATTTTAAAATGTACTTAAGTAAAGTACAGATACCTAAAATCTTTACTTAAGTACAGTACTTTACTACTTTTACTTTGTTGCATTTTACCACTGGAATATATCCATTAAAGTACAAGCAACACAAAATCTAGGACATGATGGGCAACAGTTTGTGAATCGTAATACCTGTGTGTGACAATTCATCATCGAACAGCACTTTATCATCCTTTTCAACACCTGACAAAACAAGTAATAGTGACAAACGTAAATATTGTGAAATCAAACAGGTATATTTTTGAATGGCAGACTTGCACATGCACAAAACGATTTGTTACATACTTAACAAATGCAAAAGGTAAGTTTGAAATATGTTTTTCACCTGATCTGTGTAGATGTCAGGTGGAACAGGTTTTGTGAAGAAATCAGAGGACACAGCTCCAGCCTGAAGATAGAAGTTCAGAGCAGCCGAGTACTGATTTGTCACTGTAACAGGAAATAACAAAATGGAGATGACAAAGCAGATATACAGGAGGCAAAAGGTGAAATACAAAGCCTTGAAACCCAGTTAAGTTTAAAATATGTTGTTTAATTATGAATTAAACTGTGTTGTCATCTGAAAATAATAGGTTGAATTTCTAATCAGGATCAGAAAATGACAATGGGGGCATTTCCGACTCCACTGACTCTCGTTTCAATTGACTTTATATTGAAAAACTGTCACCCCTCTCTCTGTAACTTCTGCAGTGAGCCTTGTCATTTAGGTCTTAAAATGTTCATATTAACCAGCTCTATATGATCCTGGTGTGTTTATTGTGCTATTTTGTCCATAAATAAACTCCTATTCCTATAACCACTGCATTGTGAGCTTCATTTGACTGGAACACCCTCACTTAGTCCATTTCTTTATACAGTTTATGGTCTCCACTGACATCACTTACACATCAGTATTCAGCAGCTGTAAATGTCTAGCAAAAAGACACATGAGCAGTATGTGCTTGTTTAAGGTGAGATTGGACCACCAACAGAAGCCGCTTTAGAGTCAGTATTGCCTAATTTTGCATCTCCAGAGGTTGTAGAGAATATAGGAACTCTCACCAAAGTAAATATCGGCCTGTGTGATGAGCCACGACTGATTATTGGGGTTTAGAGTGAGAGCGTAGGACACCAGCTCCTTCACTGTAACAGCCACCGCCTCTACATCTACAGCCTGGATACTGAAAAACACAACACAAAATATAAAAGTTGAAAAGAGTAGAATCACACAGAAAATGTTTTATCTTCTTATGGTTTCTTCAACTTACTTTGCCAGTGTGGACGGCCATATGGAGAGGTGTTCAGCGGTCACCTCATTCACAATATCGTCCTGGAAAAATATATGCAAAAGGATTAGTTTTTATGTTAATTTAAAGGTGAACTATGCAACTTTGGGGTGAGGGGTCTCAAATTGTTTTAAAGAAAATTTAAATGTATTTTTTTTATCTGTGAATGGAGCAGCATTTATAAGATGAATTTTCTTCCTGTTCCTTTTGTATATGTGGCAAAAACAAGGCAAATAATTGAGAACTGAGAACAAATAATAAATGTTCTCCTTAAATTAATGCCAACAAAATAATAGCATGAGCAATAAATACATTTTAAAAACTCTTATCCATCATGCATTTATTCATTTAGATGTGACCTGTAACACAACCTGGTGGCATCAACTTGTTTCTGTGGAGTTACACAAGTTCAATGCCAAATTATAGCTTCCAGGCAAAGTAGTAATATCTCCATGGAGACAAGCAGATAGTAGACCCTCTACCAGAAAAGTTGCACAATGCACCTTTAAGTACTTCATCAAGATTCTGTTTTTTTTACCTACCCGGACAATACTGTGGAGTCTAACAAACAGAGAAATGAGTGTTGTCAGCACTAGTGGTTCCTGGAAAAATAAATAAATACATTAGAAATGAAAAGTTCAGAGATTGTGATGGTCACTTATTTTATCAAATATTGGACTCACCCGAAGTTTCTTGATAAATGTGATGAATTTATTCCTGAAAGAAAACAACACAAAGGCAGGATAAGTTAGAACGAGGCACTGATCGATTGAAACAGTGAAACAAAAACACCAAAAAAGTTACAAAATGAACTTTTAAAAATAGACAATACCTCTGTAGGATGCCCATGGAAGACTCTCTGTGTTTGATGAGCCCCACTCTTCCGTCGCTGCTGCGTTTGTGTTGGACTGAGACACTGCAGATCTGGACCACAGCCTCCCACAGCTCTTTGGCCGTGCGCCTGCTCTCCTTCGGCCCGGGGAGCTCTTTACACGTGGATGCAAGCAACTGACCCAACTACAACAACACACAAACAACATACAGTTTAAGAAGTCAGATTTTACATATGATGATTTAACATATTATGTAAAAGCTGCCACTACATGACATCACAAGGGGGAACAGAGCTTTGGAGATGCAGACAAACTAATAATAAAGGATTAATAAAGTAATTTTTCAACAATAAAAACGCAATTGAAAACTCTGCTGCTTATTACAGTGAAATACCACTATAAAGGGGCTAGATTTCCCAGTTCTGTAGTTTTGAACAGGGGGTCTGAAGTCAGAAAAAAGCATAATATGTCTCCTTTAACACTGGATAATTAAGAACATGAAAGTATTTCCAGTAGCAGTTATGTTTACCTTAATATAGGGGTTGTTCATGACCAAAGATTGCGGCACTTGCAGAGTTAAATAATCATTTTCTCTCCAGTTCAACATGAAGGCGACGCACTCCTCTCCAACCACCTGACGCAGCGGCAGATCTGTGAAACATGGACAAAATTTAATACATTTATTAGAACTGGTGTGAAATGCCAAAAATAATTATCTTATTTCCAGTCTTAGTGCCAGAGGTTTTTTAATGCTATAAATAAACAAAAATATACTTCTGATACATGAGGCCTATGTTTTTGCACATGTGGAATATTAATTTAATTTGAATGTATCATTTGTACAAGTAGTGCAAGTCATCACAGTAACTTTTTATAGTGAATGAGTGTTAGACTTACAATTTACTGCTAAATGTTGAAGAAAAAAATACAAATATACTAAGCTCTAATTACCATGAATCCTCATCTCCAGGTATCCTCTGACCCTGCTGACCAGGTCTGGGGGCGGCCGCTCCCTGCTGCCCTCTGCTGCCTGCGTCTCGTGAGCACGCACGTCCAGCAGAAGCATCTCATTGAGCATCACCTGCCTCAGTTTAGGAGAAAACTCAGTGACCAGCTCCAAGCAGGCCGAGAACAGCTGACGCGCATGAGCAAAGTCCTGAGAGGAGGAAAAAGGAAACTCATGTATATACAATAAAGTGTCTTGGATAACACCTTTTAAGATAACACCACTTATATCAATTATTTTTATATCAGTTTTAAAACAAAAATAATATATTATATTGTAAGCCTTCAATCACCATCATAATCTTCCTTTGGTTAAAAAAAGTATTTTAAAAAAGTGGCAAAAATAAACACATCAACTTTCCAGTTTTAAGATGACCACTGCCACATGTGCCAAAGTGACCCCAAACTAAAACACTTTTGACAATAAAAAACTGTACCAGTATACAAAAAGTTACAGTGAAGGTCTTGTCATATAGGGAGAAATTAAAACACAATGTTTAGTTTATTCAAATCATAAAATGGTTAAAATGGTTATGTATAAATGTGTACAACATTGATCAATCTTCTGACCTTTATGAAGATGCAGTGCAGCCCTTTGGCCATGAGGATGTAGACCAGGTCCTTGGTCAGACTGTCTTTGATGCCTAGAATCACATTGATGTAATCTGAAGGAACCTCCCACTGAAACACACAAAACTGAATTGTTACAAACTCTGACACCAACATAAAACTATGTAGCTCTGCATGAGTGGTGTAAGTCCGTGCCTTGCTGTTGACTCTCCAGTAGGGGCGCTCTGACATCCCATGGAGCTCGATGAGGATCTGTCTGATTCTGCGTGGCTCCAGAGACAGAATGAGCTGCTGCTCCAGCTGCCCAATGTTCACTGAAGCTGAGGCTGACGAGAAACACAAAAGGTGCTGAAAATATCACTTCATACCCTTGTTTGGAATTTTCTTTTTTATGTTATTTTTAACAATCTTTATAGACAATATAAATGAGTATTGTTATTTTGCATATCTTCAAAACAACAATTGTGATATTATCAATTTTCTGGTTATTCTGCAAACCCTTTAGATTTGTCAAAACATGTTCTGAAACATGTGATCTGTTTTTCTTTTAGTTTTGTGTCAATTCTTCTGGATGCATTTAAAATGTGAATTTTGAACAAATCTGATCTTGCTTTCCAGATCCTTCAGCCGTACCTGGGATGTCGTAGAAGGAGGGGAGGGGTTTGGCACTCAGATTGACCGTGGCAGATCTCTTCCTCATCTGCTCCACCAGGACTTTCCTCTGATCATCACTGAGAAGCTCCACGAACAGTTTATGAGACGAGACCGAGAAGACCAGAGACAGGTCTTGCAAACTCTCACACAGAGTCCTGGAAAAAACAAGGAATCATGTCAAGAAAATACATCAATTACTACCGATATTCACTGATATGGACAAATGGCCGCTAAACTATTCTACTAAGAACTGCCTCTATCTAAGGATAAATCAGACTGTAAAAAGAAGTGGACAAAGTTCCTGAAAGCAGCAGCTTTCAGGTTAGCTATGTCCATTTATACACAGTCTGTGGTTTGTCCTGCATGTTGGTTTTGTAATAAAAGAGTTGTGTATTGACACCAACTAGTTTACCTCAACAGATTCCCCATGTTTGTTCTGTATGTTTCAGACGGGTTGTTCTTTTCCAATGATCTTGTGCAAACCTGCAAAAACACAAGCATTCTCATTTCAAACTAAATTAAAAAAATGTTTATCAGACAAGCGATTTCACCACACGTGATTCAGTATTTATTAGATATTAGTTAAATTGTGTTACCTCTAAAATGAAGTCCACCATTCGTTTGCTGGGCCTCAGGAGCAGCTGGTGAAACCTCACACTGAGCACTTCTCCCTCTAAAGTGTCTCTCACAGCGTTACACACACACAGCTTCTGACAGACCTCCTCCAAACCAGACTCCCTACAAGTACACACAAAAATGTAACTATGGGTAAAACTACAGTCTATGCCCAGGTTTTGTTTAAGGTACACTGTGTAACTTCTCTGCTGGAGGGTCTGTCATCTGCTCGTCTCCATGGAGATGCGCAAAGAATGTTCCAGAGTATGGCCATAAACTTATGAATCTCCATGAAGACTTGCAAGTCAAATTACAGGTTAGATTTGTGGAGCAGCGACCCCACTCACAGGAAGAATTTGTTTTTTTTAAGATATTTTTGAGCAATAAATAATAGCTGTAGTTGAATAAATGCAAGACAGATTAGTTTAATATCATACTGTGGACAATTTAAGATGAAGCATTAACATCTCCATGGAAACAAACAGATTGCGGACCCTTTCCAGAAAATGTACACGTTTAAACTTGGTGAAGTTTATGATCATTCAAATTCATGAACAGAAAATTACAGTGTCTTAAAAAAAATTAAATGCCTACAAACAACAAAAAATATTTCCATGAAGAAAGGTATTTGAATGGCCTTCCACCAGAAAAGTTAAACAGCGCACCTTTAACACCTAAACTTTGATTTTACACCTTCTTTAACCATCCATCATAACTCTTGCAATTACACCCACGCAGCAGTGCATACCTCTATTCATGTCAGTATTTTACTGTTTAAACGTTCAGTCCTCACCCTTGTTGAACTTTGTACATAAACTCTCTGAGGACAGATCTCCTGAAGTGAGTGGGCAGACTGTGGCTGATGTTGTCTTTGATGAACGCCTCAATCACAGCCTGAAAACATTTAAACCAGATTAGTTCACAGATCACTGAACATTTTTCGGTTGCCTCAGCAAAACATACCCAGAGTTGTGTTTTGTTTTATTCAAATAACTTAATCAAAAAACCCTTTATTATTAGTCTCTCTACATCTCCAAAGCTCAAAACACTCTGTTCCACCTTGTGATGTCATGTAGCGGTACTTTTCAAGTTAACAGCTACTTTTTTAGTTCAGTAGTTATTGGCAGTTGCAGAGCTGAAATGATTGTAGTGAAGGTGTATAGAGTGTAAAAAACAGTAGAGCACTTCCTGTATTACCACATGACATCACAAGGGTAGAGTAGAGTCCTTTTTTTCCTTTTGAGAGAAGAACTCAGCCTAAATATGCAGGATTTGTGTGTTAAACATGTGAATGAAACAAAATCAAACTCCGGGTATGTTTTTAATGAGGAAACAACATTATAACATACTGTAGATTAGAAAATAGTGTAATACGGCTCCTTTAAATCTGCCCTGACCTGATAGTTGTGTGCTCGGATGAGGCTGTTGATCTGGTTGTATGGGGTCGTCTGAGAGTCCGAGGGGTCACTGTCTCCGGTCAGGGCTCTGCATGCATTCCAGTATCCGGTCAGTCTCTTCTCATCCAAATGCACATGAACAGGAGAAACCAGCTGAAAGAGGAGCAATAACAAACTCAATATAATGTCCTGGGTATTATAATTTTAAAGCCACTAAATAAACTGTCAGCAAATAAACCATTAAGAGTAGATGCAAAAGTGTATATAAAACATGTACTCAACCTTCTTGAGCAGTTCTTTAGTTTGTCTGAAGTGATCTCTGGCTTTCACATAGGCGGGCTGGTCTGTGCTTCCTTGTTGGAAGAAAATGCCTCCCAAATCATAATGGACCTAAAAGAGAGAAAGCAAGTCAATTATAATAACATGTTTTCACTAATATCGATAAACTAAAGACAATCCTTATCAGTGAAACAAATAAGGATGTAACTTTTACTAACATCAATACATTTACAATACATAGTGTGTATCCTCCTGTGGTCTGACCTGACAGTGGAGTTCGTCAGCGCTGATGCGGAGTCCGGCCGTAGATGACTCAGTTTCCCCATTTGCTGCAGCATCTGAGGCCAGCAGCTCAAGAGTCCTCATGGTGTGAACATAAAAATCCTTCTTCAGGCACAGTGCCCCCTCAAGGACACTAATTGAGTCTGCAGACTGCTCTTTCAGCTACAGAGAGCAAATGAAATACAGTTGGTTGGTATTAGTTGGTAGTAATGATATTGTTGTGTTGTAGCATTGTAGGTTTCACTGACCACAGTCAAAATGTTTTCAGTCATTTCCTTCTCTTGTTGCACAATACTCAACCTAGAAAGATACAAAATGGGGAATAAGTCTGTTACTAGACTTGGGGGCAACAAACACGCAAATAGCAATAACTATAAAAAAATATTTGAAATGATCACGCTTATAACTTTAGTCTAATTCACAACACTGAAATAGACAAAAGTATGGACCATATAGATTATATTTTAAATTGATTTAAAACAATGCTGTCAATCCCACAGTTGATTTTAGACATTACTCACATGTTCATTTGATGTGGTCCGGGTTTGGTTTGTTTTTCTGGAAAACTACTGAGGACAATAGTTCTGATAGCCCTATAAAATAATCATAAAAGTATGTTAGTAATTTGCAGATAAAAACGTAAATGTGCATTATGTAACTTTCTGGTTGGTGGTTCATCACTTGCTTGTTTCTATGAATATGTCACTGCTCTGCCTGGAATGTTCTGCAGTATGACATTAAACAGTTTATTAAATTACAGGTCGTTTTAAAGGTCAAAAATATCTAGAAAAGCATGTCATCTGACTGTGAGTGGGGTTGCCTTTCCAAAGATCTGACCTGGTCTGGTTTGGTCTCCATGAAAAAAAGGTTGAATACCGTACTGTGAAACACTCCAGTCAAAGTAATAACATTTCCATGGAGAAAAGCATTTGACGAGCCCTTCACCAGAAAAGTTACACAATGCACCTTTAAATAGAACTGGAATGAAATAACATAATTCCTGACCAGCGGTTATAAATAATGACAGCCATGGCGGTGGTGGGGGGCAGAGTGGACAGCTCCAGGTCGACGTGTTTCACTCCTGGAGGCACTTTGCTCACACACAGCAGCTCATTCAGCAGCATGTTCAGCACAGGAATGGTCAATCTGAGAAAAACAGATCAAACTATTTACTGATAGTATTGTCACCATACTAAAATCCTTCATACTCAATAATGGTTCTGATACCACCATGATAATAAAATACACTCTTTATTTAGATAATAAAATGTGCATTCAGTGATCCAAGTATATTCCCACAGTGGTCCATGGGCATATATACTAGTCTTTGTGCTCTTATACGTGTTCTGATACATCTTAAGATGATTTTAAAGCTATTCGGGAAAGGTTAATGTCTGTCCCTGGAATTATTTTAATATTGATACCTGCTCAAATGTGTATCTTGTCTCGATACTAGTTTTAGTATTACTTAGTATCTGATTTTCGATACTTTTGACAACACTTACTGATGATCATCAAAAGACAAATAAACAGGGGTACCGGTAAATAGGGTTGGATGATATTAGTAAAATAATTGCAATATTTCTGACAACCATTGTGATTAGATAACAAAAATCATTTCAGAGCATTTCATTATTAAAAGGAATGATTTGCTGAGGTCCACAAAAGGTTCAGTATTCCTTTTTATAAGCTATAATGTATTAATCTTGTTAAAGCAATAATTTAATTTTATAATAATTTAATAATGTATTTATATTGATGTTTTCTTCTATGAAACACCAAACACTATCAATGGAACACAAGTTTTTGAAGATACTATATCTCATAATTCAGACTTTTCACAGGGATGTTATGTAAGTTTCACAAACAATAATATATTACCCTTTCTCAAGAACATCCAGGTCCCACTTCATATACGCTGCCACCTTCAGAGCGAGCAGTTTGAGGGTGCGGTTTCTCCTGTTGTCCACTGGAGGCTGGACCTGGTTCTGTTCATTCACTGACGGCTTCGAGGCCTGCTCCAAAAACTGCACGATCAGCTGAACTGGAGGAGGATCTAAAGAAAGGAAAATACTCCCTTAATCAAGGTGCAAAAGATTAATTACATCAGCATAATATATTTGAAAAGACGAGTAACCTGGGTTTTGCTTCTGAAGATGTTTCTCCAGTAAAGTCCCATCCAACAGAAACTCAAACCACGACGTTTGGAGAGGCGTACTGGGCCGACTGTTCACCGCAGCCACACGATCAGCTGCCTCGGCACTCATCCTCCCCTAAACACAAGAAATAACACATCATGATGCAAACCGTGAAATAATTTTAAATACAAATATTATTTTTTATTTGAACTTGTACATGTATATAATTATCCATTATTTGACACTAGACTCTTTTTATGTTTGCTACTTATTTTGAATGTATTATTACCATTTATATTTTTACTCTGTTATTATAATATATTGTGATGTGAGAGCTATTGTGTCCAAACAGTTTCCCTTGTGGATCAATAAAGATTGTCTATGTCTAAGTCAAAATAAGATACAACAAATTGACTTTGCACATTCTCTCTTTTTTTGTTGTTTTATTCATATTAATTTATTTCCTGGGCATATTTTGCCAGTAAAGCCATAAATAACACCAATTTATAGAAACCATGTATATTATCTGCAGTTAAAATTCCACTTGTATGTATTTTATGAGGATTTTACAAGGACTACAAAAGAACCACTTTGGGCATTTATCAAATAGCATATGTCTAAAGTGTGATTGATTGCTTTGAATATCACCTTAGGACATCACCAGAAGGGCGATGTTTGTCTCTGTACATCTGTACTTAACCAAAATATATTCGACTTTTATGTTTTCTCCATCAGCTCTAACACACCTCTCCCATCCGCTCAGTTTTCCCTGATGCTAACCAAAACAAAGCTAATATTTCAAGGTATCCGCCTCACACCACGGCACTATACTGCACAAATAAGTAACAGGACATCCTTACCTTTATTCAAACGTAAAAACACCAATATAAAAAGACGATAAAAACAAATAAACCTACATTTATCGGGGGCTACAGAAACATATTCGTGCTCACATATTTCATTCTGCGGCTCATTCTGCCCCGTGTTTCCGGTTCCGGTCCGTCGTCAAGGAAACGCAATGGACGCCAATTTTGCGTTTTTATGCTTTAATTTTATATATTTTAATGCTTCTATTACTTTTGGTTATATACTTAAATAGAATAGACATAAGTAAAAAAAAATAATAAAATAGGACTTTATTTTTACTTTAATATTATTAGTGGTAAGTCTTATTTGATGAGAAATGTTTTTTTTTTTTTTGTTTGTTTGTATTTTTCAATTGAAATGAATACACTTTCACATTTCATTTAATAATAATAATAATAATAATTTAAAAAAATCTATTCTGCTTATTTCTCAACACTTTTCAACTTTTTTTTTTTACATAATTAGAAAGGAACACATTAGAAGTAGATACAATACTAGTAGATACCAGCCTTTATTTTTGAAGTGTGAATGAGGATGAACGATGATGACTTGACAGTGAAGCATGACACAGTGTCGTGATATTATTTTATTTTTTGACTTGCATATATCCAGTCAGTAAGTCACTTTTCACTACATGGCCATTTGCAAAGGACGGTTGGACCAGTAGCACCAAAATACTTAAGGTAACAGCAAGAGATAGATAAACACACAACATAAGGCAGTGACAAAAGACAAAGTAAACAGAACAAGAGTAGCTTCAAAACCAGCATAAAGTACTCGGAAAAAGTGTGATTTTGGTTCTTTCACAAAAACATCTCCAGCTGAACATAATGTTGTTGTACAAAATAACATAACAGCAACAGTGTTCATACAAATTACATGAAATACCTTGCTTTGACTCTGAATAGAGAAATCAACAATGCTTACTGATCAATTTTTAAGATTAATTCTGGTTAATTTTAAGAGGTATATTTGCAAGATTGTAAGAACTCTGCAAGGCCCTTTACCATGTATAGCCTACTAATAGTAAAATCTACTAACCCAATATCTGCTTATAAAGTTGTCTATTGCTTAAGGCAAGTTTAAAAGGCATTGTTTGGGTAAAAAGCAATTGCAGCGATTATCAAGTTAATTGCTTACTATTATTCTTAAGTTTTTTTTTCTTGTTAAATAGTTTTAAAAATTCCCTTTTATAATCAGTTATCCTGGTGCTGGTTTCCTGCCCAGGTATATATACCGTATATAGTCACATTTTAAGGCAATCATACATCAGTTCATACTATTTAAAAGAGTGTAATAAAAACAAACTAAAATATGTTTTGCATAAAGTTAAGATTCACATAATAGCTCAATGAAAAGTAATGCATGGCTTATGACAACAGTACAATGACTTTTTATGGCATAGTTCATATCCGTTTTAATTAAAGGTGCACTGTGTAACATTTTGGTTGTGGGTCCGTCACCTGCTTCTTTCTATGGAGATGTCATTGCTTTGCCTGGAATGTTCCAAAGTATGCCATTAAACAGCTCTTCCTTACATTTATTCAATTGCTGGTGGTTATATAACCCAAAAATACCTAGGCATTCTGACTGAGTGGGGTCACCTCTCCACAGATCTGACCAGTAACTTGGTCTGGTTTGGTCTCCATGAAGATAGAAGGGTTTAATGCCAAACTGTGAAACATTCCAGAAAAAGCAATAACATCTCCATGAAAAAAAGCATTTGACAGAACCTCCACCAGGAAAGTCACATAATGCAACTTTAAGATGCAGTGTATAAGACGTGGACATCTTTATCTTGAGTGTCTGCTGTTTTTATAAAAGTGTGATTGTTTGTGCCTTCATTTAGAGGCACGAGGCCAGGGTCAGTACTGAAACGAGATGACGGAGTTGACTTTATAAACGTGGTACGAACGGTTCCAAAAAACTCGAGTGAAATAGTTTATGTACGGGGAGTAGTTCATTTTTATCTCATTGCAAAATCTTCCATGTTTGGCAAATGAGTACATCTCCCCTTTGTCATACACCACCTGGAAGAAATATGAAAAAATCTGTGATAAATGGGACAAAGTATGTAGACATTAAGTTATATGTAACAGTTAAAAGCATTAAAACAAACAGGACTAAAAATACACAATCACAACTGTTCAAATAACAAAAGTTACACAAAACTTAAACATATTACACTATTTTCTGATCTATGTTATAATGCTGTTTCCTCATAACAAACATACCTGGAGTTGTGTTTTGTTTCATTCATACATGTTTAAACACACAAACTCTGCCTATTTAGTTCTCTAAAGATGTACAAACATAAAAACATGACACATAAAACATGGTTGTACTATACTAAATGATTAAAAGCTTAAACATGTCTTACAATCTCTGAAGTTGATTTGAAGTATGATTTATGAATTATATCTATATTTACCTTGTCACACCCATTTTAAAAGTCCTTTATTGAAACTGACTCTTGTGAACTTTAAGATATGTTATAATGTTGCCTCCTCAAAAACATACTTGGAGTTATGTTTTGTTTCATTCACACATGTTTGAGTAACACTTTATTATGAGTCTTTCTACAGAGTTTCAAGTTAACAGCTCCTTTTACCTTTAGTTCAGCTGATTGGCAATTCCAAGGCTGAAATGATCTAGATGATTATAGTGAAGGCGTATGGAGTTTAAAAACACAGTGGAGCACTTACTGTATTACCACAAGACATCACAAAGTGGAAGAGAGTGTTTTCAGTTTGAGAGAAAACTCAGCCTAATTATGCAGGATTTGTGTGTTAAACATGTGAATGAAACAAAACACAACTCCAGAAAATATGGGCCCTTTAACATCTGATTCACCATGTGCTGTTACATATGGTTGCTGCAGAAATAATGAGATAAATAAAAAATATAACAATAAACAGCTCGTCTTACATGTCCGTTGGAGATGTCCAGGAGGTCTTTGATTCTACAGCCTCGGTTCAGACTGAGCTCATTGCAGATGGCCTCCTCTATGATCACATAGTTTGTCTTTTGACTGGTGAGAAGCTTGTAGATTTCTTCAGGCGACCTCATTGCATAGACCTGGAAAGGCTACAGAGGGAAACAGAGCATGGTAAATAATAAATAAAGGTGCACTGTGTAATTTTTCTGCCACTTGTTTTGCTTGTCTCAGTTGAGATGTTATTGTTTTGCCAGAAATGTTCCACTGTATTGAACCTAACCAGCTTAGATTTATTCAGTTTGAGTTTCAGTTTTAAAGACAAATAATACCATGCTTTCTTCACTTTGTACTGGGAAAAAAAAAACGTTGTCCCTTTCTCTGTAACTGCTGCAGTGCGCCTTGTCATTTTGGTCTTAAATGTTCACATTAACCCGCTCTACTTGATCCTGGTATTTCACAATTTTGTCCCTAAATAAATTCCTATTCCAAATTCTCCCTTTTGGGTCCCTTAGTCCACTTCTTTATACAGTCTATGGAGTGGGTTCACCTTTTCACAGATCTGGCCTGTAATTTGGCCGGGTTGCGTCACCTGTTTGTCTCCATGAAGACAGTCAAGTCAAGCCACACCACCGACCACTGCAGGCAAAGCAATAACATCTCCATAGACACAAGCAGATGGCAGACCACTAGAAAAGTTACATAGTGCTGCTTTAAAGTTGTATATAACTCTCACTCACATCTTCAGTCCTCCGGAGCAGGCCAATGTCGGAGTAAAGTGGTAAACTGGTCACAATGGAGCCTGAGCAGAGCTTGACCGTCCCCAGGAGCTGAGGGCTGCCCGCGAATACTGCTGCTATAGGAGCTTGTGTCCTGAAAGAAAACACAAAACCAAAATAATCGTAAGTTTGACGATAAGATGAAAGCCCAATCATGTACATTTTATGAAGAGGATCTGCCAGTTGCTAGTCTCCATGGAGAAGTAAGCGTTTTGCCTGAAATGTTTCAAAGTATGGGATTAAACATACTGTATATCTTGCATTTATTCAACAGGTGTAATGAGTGGCAGAGTGGGCTTGCCTCTCGCTCCAAAAGTTAATTTAGTCATTGTAAATTTTAACACCTCTTACAAAAATACACTACTAGTCAATAGTTTGGATTCACTCTCTCATTCAGTGTTTTCTTTTCTATAAGTTTACTACTTCTGACATTTTATATACATACAGAAGAAACCAACAATACAAAGTAAGAGTAAGTGTTCAGGTTTGTATATACACGACCAGTCAAAAGTTTGGACACACCATCTCACGCAATGTTTTCTTATTTCTTATTTCTTACTACTTTCTACATTTTAGATACATACAGACGACACCAGGTATATGAAGCAAGATATATGGAATTACTTAAATTAGTAGTAGAAAGTAGTAAGAAAAAAAAAAAACATGATTTCTGTAGCTATCTGGTCTGGACAAGGAATTGACCATATCTCGCAAAAACACAAGAAAATAGTTATGAAAATGAAAAGCTCACTTGATCCAGTTTATCAGTTCCACTGTGTCTGGATCATAAAACTCCTGAAGATCTGCCAGCTCCGACATCACACGAGGACAATACTGTAACACAAGCGTGAGGAAGTGGGCATGGAGTTTCAATACAATAAATTCATATGAACATTTTGAATTAATAAATCGTACCTCTCTCCACAAACTAAAAAGGATGATTGTGGGAACAGCAGTGCTCAGAGTTAAAGACTGTCAAGTTAAAAGACAGACATATAAATTAATCTATGAAGGTGAAACATTTTTAGTTTTGTTTTAAGCAGCAGAAGCAAAAACAAAAAGGCCTCTTACCAAAACTACAGGGTCAAGAGATTTCAGGTTCAGCCATTTAAACAGAGACATCCACATCTTGGGAGAACAGACCCCGAAAGCAGTGAACATGCACACATATGGAGTCCACAAATACTTGGTGCTGTTAAGGAAATATGTGGAAATATCAGAAATTCAGCTATTAAATATGATCTATTGTATTATGTATGCCAAGAGCAGAGGTGGGGCACTACCCTTAGTACTGCAAGGACAAAAGTTGTGCATGTTGCTATACAATGAAGCAATATCCGGGGTATACATAAAATAATCCTCCATCCATTATATGGTATAATACATGTTCATAGTATTTATGTTATAAGAAATATCCAAAAGAACAATCGAGCTTATCCACAATAGTTAGTTTTTATTTTGCCAGCCTTGAATGTCAATACCAGTGACGGCCTATGGATTCATAGTAAACAGACCCGATTCTATAAGCTTACATACAGAAGCTTCTAAGGCTGTCCATGTTTTTCACAGTGTCACATATATTGGCATTATTACATGTTAAATATGCACTGCAAAAAGCTTGGCCAAAATTTAAGATATAAACACTTAAATCTATCAGAAAATGGCTTAAAAGTAGTGAAATTATATGTCCATGCAACAATTATTTTAAAATAAACTACCTCTAGACTAGAATTAAGCGGTCTCAGAACTCGTAAGTAGATAATAAATCTGAAAACAAGATAAATAACCTGATATAAGTTTTGAAATCTTGGCCAAATCAGATCAGACAATTTGCAGGATGTATTGTGTGTGCGATATATAAACATTAAACATTGTGAAAAATAAACAGAATTAAATTTAAATAAATTACCCATCAAATAGCAGTGCTAGGCCTCCAAACAGAAGAGTATGAAAAACATGGTAGGTGACCTCAGGGTGCTCTCCTATCTGCCCATCTTCAAGTTTGAGTTTATCTTTCATTGGCTGCCCCCTAAATAAAAAAAAAAAAGAAGTTTCATACTTTATAAACCATAGTAAAATTGGATTTACTCAAACTAAAATCTTAGGTGCTTACCGTAATCTCTTATAGACCGACTCCAGGGTGGAGAAAAAACAGACCGCAAGAACCAGGAAGTAAAATGGTAAAACTGAGGCCTGGGTGAGTCTGAGGAACAGGTCCTGGCTTGGTCTCTGGAAACCGTCTTGACACAGGAGGAAGTTGGTCACAAAATCACTAAAACAGAACAAAACACTTAAACTAGACTTAAACAGCATAAAGCATAAGTTACAGGCTGGATGACATAACATAAAGTCAGTAATTTAATATTTTTAGATATACTATATGGCTATTTAAGATCAAATTCTGACTAAATAAAAAATAAAAAAAATGCACAAAATAAAACATCCTGTCTCCATGGGGTGTAATCCGAATAAAACCAATGAAGTTTAAACCTGTACTGTGCTAACATGCTCTGAGATTCTTGTACAATTTGATTTAAAAAAGTTTTTGGAGGTATTTAAAATTTGCACTGTGAGTTGTATTGTGATGATTAAAAACATAAAACTACATTTCTAATCACATACACTACCAGTCAAAAGTTTGGACACACCCTCTAATTCTTTCCATTTATTCTTTCTTTGTCTTTATTTATTTTCAAATTTAAATTTTATTTATTTTTTTATATATATTGTAAGTGATATAAAAAGACAATTAAAATGTAACATGTGCGGTGTTATTTCCACCAATTGTATGCAAAACAACAATGAAAATAAAAGGTCAAACTAAATCTGGTCTTACAGTTTTGATTATTTCAGTCCACCGTTCCCATTTGTTCTTAAATTTGTCTTGTTCCCATCTGATACTTAATAATTAGTAATTCTCTCCATCTTAAAAATATCACACCCTGTCATTCAAAGTTTTTTCTTATTTTTTCTCGCTACTTTCTACATTTTCTTACTACTTTCTACATTTTAGATACATACAAACAATAATGTCAGATGAAGAGAGAAAGTAGAGCGCTTCACTGGGTCATAAAAAAGTTAAAAATAGCAGTACAGGTGTAAAATGATGGAAAAGGGTGACTAATTTGAGGATTTTGTTATAAAATATTGACAAAAATATTTAGTAGAGTTATTTAACGTTTTGTCTTTGCTAAATAATTCCATATAGCTTACTTCATATATTTGTTTTCTTCAGTTTGTATATAGAAAGTAGTAAAAATACAGAAAAAAAAAACTGAAAGAGAGGGTGAGTCCAAACTTTTGACTGGTAGTGTACATATCAATTACGAATACATGTAATAGATTATAAGCCATTTCAAACCAATATCGTAAAGTAGTTGTGTAACTCACGTAGTTGTATTGAGTCCAAACTTTGCCTCGAGAAACTTCAATATGAAGTCGCTCTCTGTCACAGGTAATACTTTCTGTTCATAAAAACACAGATATTAATATAAATGTGGATGAATTATATAGACATAAATGAACACATACACAGAATGTTATAATTAATCTATATCCAGCTATACACTACAATAAAAATGTACCTTTATCAAATAATTGAAGGTGATACTTGTTGTGAAAACTAGATAAAAGTGAAGAAAGAGTTTTATTATTCTGGCCATGACGGGACCTCTCTTCATATTTTGCTGAAACACACACACACACAAAAAAAACAATGTTATCTTTCCTAACAAAACTTGAAAACTATAACAATATAATTGGCATAAGAAATATAGCAGAATATAAAGTGTTGTTGTCTGTACCTGAAAGTATCTGGCCAGCATGGAGCCGAACAGCAGACTGAGCAGAGGGGAGCCGAGCAGAGCGGGGTTTTGAAATTGGCACCAGTACGCTCCGAGTAAACAGGAGAGGTACAGTTTATGCATGTCAGCCACCTGGACAATCAACCAGAGAAAAACAATGAGGGGCATATATAATTATAATAGAATTAACATTAACATAAAAAAATTCCCCAAAAATGAAAAAGCTTGAAGTTTTTTTGTTTTTTAACATAATATCATGGAATTTTAACCATCTAAGAAGTGCAGCACGTGCAGTTCAAAGGACACAAGTAATGCCACATTGTTGGCAGTCGATAAATCCGAATCAGTTCTCCCAAAATCCATTGTAAATGGAAAATATGGATGCCCGAGAAAGTTTAATGTCCAACCAACTCGGTCTGCAGCAAACTGACCCAAGTTTATGTTTTGGATTTGACTGGCCGTTTGCCATTGCACATTTCTTAAGGTGGTGGTCGGTTTTCCCCGGGTCCCGAGCACAATAGATGAGCTTTAAGGGACTGTTGGATTTCGTAAAATGAGCTGTTTGTTTTTCCTGTATCCATGGAGACCGTGTAAGAGGCTGGAGAAGGAGCTAGGTAAGGAGATGGCTTTGGACATTTGAGATGCTAAAGGCTTTTTATACCATATGTGCTTTTTTTTTTACCCTATAAAGAAAAGCCTTTACAGAATTATTTATGTTTTCAAACCAAAACTAATGGATGACCAAATCCACACTTCTGAAATTAATAGAGATTTAATATTTATACTTTAGGACTATTTTTGTGTGTATTGTGTATTACAGCAGCATAATTTAATATAATAGATGCAATACCTTTCTTAGAGGGACCAGGTCAAATGAGTCGAGCAGAAACAGACACAAGGCCTGGACAAAGAGGACGTAGTGACTGTGCTCCCAAACCAACAGGAAGATGAAGGTCACGGCACTTATCATGAGAAAACAAAGCATCTACAAAGAAATGGAACGGTTATAAGGTTTGAAAATGAAAAGGGCCATGATACACTGTTTTCTGATCGATTTTATAATGTTGTTTTTACTCATCACAAACATACCTGGAGTTGTGTTTGTTTCATTCACATGTTTAATACAAGCTTTGGAGAAGTAAACAGACTAATAATAAAGGGTTACTCAAACATGTGTGACTGAAACTAAATTGCTTCAGGTATGTTTTTAAGGAGGTAACAACATTTTAACATGACTAAAATCTCACAAGAGCCAATTTTGCATAATATAAGACCTTTAAACAAATCTGTACTGGGTGTAATATGATAATGATGTACAGTGACAATGTTTTCCTTCTCAAATTTCCTATCTCTTTTGCAGCGCCTGTACATTGTCGTCATCTCCACTGTATGCAAATGTTAAGCAAAGTACTCCATTTTATAAGCATAGTATAAAACCATTCCCTCAGTAAATTAAAGTGCTTTATAAGGTGATATTTTAAGTAATAATAATAATAAGGAAGTATATAAGAACCAAAACATGAATGTGTAATGTAATTATTGCTTTGGAGTTTTTGTATTTATTCTCCTGATCATGATCATTAAAACAATATTGAGACTCCATCATAAATGTAATAAAATCTGCCAGTAAATGTAGTTGTGGTACTGAAATACTGCCAACAAAACATTAAAGCTGCATTGCGTAACTTTTCTTGGGGAGGGTACGCCACATGCTACTCTCCTAGTCTGGAATGTTTCACAGTAAAGCATTAAACATTTCTATCTCCATGGAGACAAGCAGATCAAGATACAGATCAGATCGGTGAAGAGGCGGGCCCGCTCACACAACAATGCATGTTCTTAAAGGTTTCTGTATAATAAAATCACCTCTAATGAAATGAAGAATGAATAGACTTTTAATGCCATGCCAAGCAAAGCAGTAACAAAAATGTTGGTGTATCCTCCAGAAGTTACACAATGCACCTTTTTAATAATTTTTATTGTAGAATATATAATACATTTTCTAATTTTGCTACCTCCAAAACAGAGATTTTAAAATGTTTATATATATCTCCATATCTTATAGCCATACCTCAGTAGCAGCGCTGATGTTGTTACACAGATAACCAGTCAGAGCTGCAACTTGACACGAAAAATACGGAAGAGCCCAGTTTTCTCGGAGAGGAACAGCGTCATCCACTCTGGTTGTGTCTGGTCTGTAAAGGTTGTATTTTAATTTAATAGATCATAATAAGTTACAATAAAAATGTTAAAGGGCCTACATTATGCTATTTTCTGATCTATGTTATAATGTTATCTCATCAAAACATACCTGGAGTGTTTTTGTTTCATTCAAACATGTTTAACACAAATCCTACATATTTAGACAGATTTTTTTTTTTGCCTCAAACTAAAAGCACTGAAACCACCTTAGGATGTCATACAGTAATACAGGAAGTGCCCCACTGTGTTTTCAAACTCTATAAACCTTCACTAGAATAATTTGGATTTGCCGGTCTGTACTGCACTAAAGTTAAAAGGCAGCTATTAACTTAAAACTACATATGATCACAAATAGAACAGAGATTTGGAGGCAGACAGACTAATAACACAGGATTACTCAAACATGTGTTAATAAACCAAAACATAACTTTGGGTATGTTTAACATTATAACATGACTTAAACCTCACATTAATCAATTTTGTGTAATACAGGATCTTTAACATATATAAAAATACAAAAAACTCACCTGTTAATGACATACCAGGCCACAGCGAGCATACCGGCCACCCAGGTCCTACTCAGAACCCAGCTACTCACAAACAGAGCTGTTACATAGACCGCCTGAAGTCCAAACACCATTCCAATGTAGAAATAAATTGGCTCCACCATATCCTGAAACACAAACACTAACTAATATCAGTACAAACAAGTTTAAATGTGTAGAGATTAACATTTAAAGGTGCACAGTGTAACTTTTCTGGCCATGGAGATGTTATTATTGTTTTGTTGGGATTATTTTTCAGTCTCCACAGAAACAAGCAGGAGACGCCACCGTGCCAATTTACGGGTGAGGTCTGTGACGAGGCAACCCCACTCACAGACAGAAGTCAGGTTTCTAAAGGTATTTTTGAGCAATTAAAGCACCCATAATTGAATAAATGCTTCTTATAAAAGTTTAATACCAAACTGTGCAACATTACAGGCAAAGCAATAGCAAACCAAAAAGTTCACAGTGCACCTTTAAAGTTGAGAAAGTCGTATATTAATTAATCTAATAACAAGTTCCCTATTTATTCACCATTAATTAAGTGTTTGTCAAAATAAAATGGGACTAAATAAGAAAGAAATTAGTTGCACAGTGGCTTTTAGGTTTACAAAGTAGTAAATAGACCAAGGCCACAATACAAATAAAACAAGAAGTGTTCAGGGAAACATGTTTAAAGGTCAATTTTCAGTGAGAGACTGAAACTGTCTGGTGAACCAAACCATAGACTGTATAAAAAGTGGAGAGAGTATGAGGTCACCCATAATGTACAGCTACAGTCAAATGAATCTCACGATGATGACGGTTACAAAATAGCAAAATAAAAACACCAGGATCATGTAGAGCGGGTTAATACGAATATTTTAAGACCAAAATGACAAGGCTCACTGCAGCAGTTACAGAGTCATCCAAGTTGATGAAGCCAGAAGAGCCCCCATGAGCACTTCCCCTCTTGAACGTGGCGGCTGGTGGGTTAGTTATGTCCTTTTATATACACAGTTTATGATTGAAACCTTGCTTTGTTTACTATTAACAAGAGAGGTCCTTTCAAGTTATGTTTGCAGAGGCATTAATTACATCAAACAGCACTTTATTGGGATGCGTGAGAATAGAGATTTTTACAGCTTATGACTCACAACTCACAAAGGCCAGAGAAAATTACTCACCTCACCGCCAAAGAGTTTGTAGGTGAAGCTTGTGAGGAGCTCAGGATACAGAGACAGACGCTCCACTGCGTTAATGGTCTGACCTGACACAGTTCTGTTATCTACAGTCAGCTCATAAAACCCTTTAGACAAGATTCATGAATTCAAGTTAGGAATATGAAGTTTAACAAGCAAACTTTCATGTGTGGCTAAGAAATAAGTACCTCTTCGAAATGAGGGAGCAGCTAACATATGTTTATAATAGTAATACATCCCACTGCCACCCTGGAAGGTGATCTCCCTTTCCAGCTCCTGAGACACAAAAAAAATAATAATATTGAAACAAAAAAAAAATGACCATGACCACATGATGAAGGAAAATATGAAACATTAAAGTCAACCTGTCGTGCTGAAAACCAGAACTTCCTGTCATGATAGGCAGACAGATAAGCCGCATAGAGCATCCCACAGGCCACAGCTGCCACACATCCGAAAACCCCCCTCACCAACCGCTGAAAAAAAGTACCTGTAAGAAATAAAATATAAAATTGCTTAACACTGTGTGACGTGATCTGATCAAATAATTCAAGGGACGAAGGGATCAAGTAATCAAGGGAGGGTATTTCACTTCTGTGGGCTATTAACTGCTAACACACAACATATTTAGATAACCACGTTACCTTTTATGATTTTGAAAATGCTACATTCACCGAAAACAGCAAATTATCAATCTCTTTGTGCGAAGTTACTCTCCACTCAAAGCACACAATCACCATCACAACATAATCAGGTCTGTGAAGCTGTAGTGTACAGTTTTGTATCATGCATTTGTATATTTATGGAGCATTGTTGTGCAGGAGAAGGCTGACGTAGGCTTGTGAACTGAGCATCAAACAGAAAAAGTAAGTAAGGTTCGAATAGGGCCCTGGAGAGATCGCAAGGTTACTCAAACATACATGGATGACGTGCAAAACCTCTTCAGACATGTTTTTGATGAGGGAATGTTATAACATGACAGAAAGCTCCAAATAATCCATTTTGCAAAACATTCCCTCTTTAAGGAAATAAGATTGTCCATCCCAGCAGAGAAGGTTAAATTGATAACATGAAGATGACCTGTACTTACTTCTTCTTCTGCATTTCTTCTCAGGCTGCTCAGGGACTTCTTGGTTTGGAGTGTCCCCTACATCTTTGGATTGCTCTTCATTTGTCCCTTCATTTTCCTCTGTGCAACTAGGCTCACTCGCATCTGACAAAAATGACAGACAGACAGGAATAGTTTCTATGTCCACAACAGATCTCAAATGACCAGACACCTACATTCAAGTCAATTAAAACTGTCATAAATGTACCTTTACTGTTTGTGTCGTTATCCCGTTCTCCTTGGACTTCCTCTTCTTGTGCTCCATCCAAAGTCTCAGCCTTCCTGCATCTTAATTCCGTCATGACTAAATTAAACTGACACAATGTTATGATACCAACATGCTAGCTAACTACCAGTAAGCGTGCAAACCCGAGCCTTTAGAAGCTAACTATTCACTTATCACTGTAGGTACATGAATGACAAGACGATTTATGGCGTGTTTCTAATCAGATGGCGCATTTCCTGGAGTAGCATGTTCAGAAAAGCTGCACAGATGCTTTAGGGGGGTGTGATGTTTGCACAACGCCCGGCGGACTGAGGCAGGGCGGAAGTGGTGACTCTGGAAAAGCGTCGAAGAAGCGCAAACTTCCTCAAACCGTTACTATGGAAACCAAGTTCAACATAATTTATCGTTTATTTTATTTTTTTATCTCTTACTTCTTATCCAATAGTACTTTAGTGACAGACTCTTCCTTAATTATTCTTGGTCTGATTTTAGATGTTCTGTATTTGTGTAATAAAAAATAATTCAAAACATTAAAAGGTGCACTGTGTAACTTTTATGACACCTGATTGTCTCCATGGAGATGTTTTGTTTGTCTGGTGCACAGTGCTACATAAAACCTTGAAAAGCCAACTGAGTGGTCAACTCTTCGCAGATCTGACCTGTAACTTCATCTGTAGGGAGACAAGCTGGTGGCGAACATTTTACCACACCAAATTGTGCACTTTTAATTTAAAAAAATCTGAAATTAATGACTCAAAATACACAAACAAAGCAGTTTATTCTTGTTTTTTTTTTTGTTTTTTTACACTGCTACAATGCACGACTGAATATTTTCTTTAAAAGAAACGTGACCAAGATCAAATACCATTAAATAATTGTGTATAAAACTTGACACAATAATAAAAACGCAGTCCAATTAACAAGATAATACCCATGACAATGAACCATTTTTACCAAAAATACAAAATCCTTAAATATGGCTGAAAGTAAAAATATAAAATAGGAATGCAATAAGTGACTTCATAAATTTCAATTAATTTTTTCACCACTTCATTTCATTTCAATCGGACTTGAGTGCGAGTATAAAATCATTCTCCATCAGATGAATTGGCTGAGACTTCAAGATTTTTTGTAGCTGCTTCGGGGACTTGTGTTTCTGCTTCAAATAAAAAAGAAAACAGTAGCATTTATGTGTGAGTATATAAATAATATATAAAAATGTATATTACAGATATAAAAAATCATAATTACCTTTCATGTCACACTTTTCAAGCATAATCCTAATCATTTTATTAATTTCAACGTGGTCTGCAACTTTTACTAAGGAATCATCATCTGGAAGACATTATTCCAGTTAGTTACTTTAATAACAATAAAAAGAAATGTCATCGTTCTTAACACTTTTAGACATCAAGTGACGGTATTAAAGGTGTACAGTGTAACTTTTCTGTTTGTCTCCATAGGGATGTGATTATTTTGCCTGAAATACCTGACGTCTATTTTGTATTTATGTCATTACAGATGTTTTTATTGATTAAAAATGTCATGAAACAAGCATTTGTTTGATACAGAGACGCCTCTCCATAGATCAGACCTGTTACATGGCCTAGTTTAGTTTATCTGCATAGAGATAGATAAGTTTAATGCTTCACTGTGGAACATTCCAGGCTAAGCAGTAACAACACCATGGAGACAAGCATTTGGCAGACCCTCCATGGGAAAAGTTACACATTGCACCTTTAAGACAACAACTAACTAAATCTGAAAGACTTTTAAATGATTTTCTATTTCTTACTGTAAATGAAAGACAATACTAACAAACACCAAACCCAGTATTTCACAGTACCTGCTACAAAACTCTTCCTTGGCTCCTCCTCCTCCTCCTCTTCCTCTTCGGAGGTAGTGTGTTTTTTTGTCTTCTTTGTCCCTTTTCTCGCTTTTTCCACGAGGTTTATCAGCGCCTCGTCATCAGAACTTTCACTTGACAATTCTGTACAATAGTTAAAATGGTAAAAATGAGCTTGAGTTGAGTCTTTACAATATTATTATGACAAATACCAGTGACACACAAAATTGACTGAACTTACTTTGTTTTGATTTTGCAGATGTCCTTCTGGCTGGAGTCGTCCTTTTATTTGCAGGTTTTGTTGTTTTAAGTTTTGCTAAAGGTACATCATCATCTGAGCTACCGCTGGACTCTACATATTTACCTGGAAAGACAAATCTACTTCAGCAAATAAAGATCCAATATCTAACTTTTTGGCCATAAAATAGAATAGTTCCTTCTGCATGTTACCATGGAAATGTTGTTCCTTTGACTATAACCTTAAACAGAATGACACAAAACTGTTCTGTATCTATAGAAGTTTTAACTTCTCAGGGAACATGCCACCTCCAGAAAGTTACAAACTGTTGCTTTAAGTTGACAAGATTTTACAGTAAAAATGTATGAATTACACTGGATCAAAGTCAACGAAAAAGGAATTAGTTACTTATTACATTAGTTATATTATTATTATATCAGGTCAATCACAAAATATGACATTTACTTGTTTTTGCAGATGTCCTTCTGGCTGGAGTCTTCTTTTTATTTGCAGGTTTTGTTGTTTTAAGTTTTGCTAAAGGTACATAGTCATCTGAGCTACCACTGGACTCTACATATTTACCTGGAAAGACAAAAATAATTTAGCAAATAAAGCCCAACATGTAACTTTTTTCATAAAATAGATTCAATGAAAGCATGTGTTGTTTTTCAGTTTGGTTGCATCTATTGCACTGAAAAACTTAAAGTGCCTCTTCCTGCTTGTTTTCATGGAAATGTTGTTCCTTTGACTATAATCTTAAACATACTGACATAAAACTCATGTCTCTATAGAAGTTTTAAGTTCTCATGGAATGTGCCACCTCCAGAAAATTACAAACTGTTGCTTTATGTTGACAAGATTTTACAGTAAAAAAATAATGAATTACACTTGATCAAAGTCAGTGAAAAGGGAATTAGTTACTTATCACATTAGTTATATTATTACTACATCAAGTCAGTCACAAAATATGACATTTACTTGTTTTTGCAGATGTCCTTCTGGCTGGAGTCGTCTTTTTATTCGCAGGTTTTGTTTTAAGTTTTGCTAAAGGTACGTCGTCCTCTGAGCTACCACTGGACTCCACATATTTACCTGAAAAGACAAAACTAATTTAACAAATAAAGCCCAACATGTAACATTTTTCATAAAACAGATTAACCAAAAGCATGTTTTTGTTTTTTACTTACATTATTATTACTACACAATTCAAACTACATATTTTTTCCAACCACAAAATGTTACATTTTCTTACTTTGTTTTGATTTTGCAGATGCCCTTTTGGCTGGAGATGCTTTTTTATTTGCAAGTTTTGCTAAAGGTACATCGTCCTCTGAGCTACCACTGGACTCCACATATTTACCTGGAAGAGGGAAAAAACTCATTTAGCATTTATCTTTAAAATATGAATCAAAGCCAACAAAAAGAGATAAGAATTAGTAGGTTATAATTACTGATTGTATATTTCACTCAATGCTACAAAGTACTTTACATTATTTCAACTCACAAATATTTTTTTCATACCACAAAAAGTTAAAATTTACTTACTTTGCTTTGCTGGTGTTCGTTTGGCTGGAGTTGTCTTTTTCTTGGTTTTAAGTTTTGCTAAAGGTACATCATCATCTGAGTCATCACTGGACTCCACATATTTACCTGGAAAAAGACCAAAAACAGTTCTGTATAACTGCTGAACAACAGTGATTTTAATTTGTGCAATTTACATTTACAAATGACTATGAATAAACCTTTTCATTGCTACTCAAACGTCAAACTGAAATGCTTAAATCAACATTATTTATTTAATGTTCTATGTTCTTCATCTATTCAGTAATTGCGGTTTCAGAAATACTGAATCCTCTTACTTTGTCTGGATTTTGCGGGAGTGCGTTTGTCTGGAGAGGATTTGGATCTTTTTAGATTTGCTAAAGGTTCATCGTCGTCCGAGTCGTCACTAGAGTCCACATCTTTACCTGGGAACAAAAACAAAAACATTTAAAAGGAGGCCCATATATTATTTCACCTGTGGAGTTGCCAATCTCCACTGAACTAAAGGTAAAAGGGACAGGACAAGGCCAAGTTACAGGTCAGATCTGTGGAGAGGGCAACCCCACTCATCCTTTGTAAGAATGCATGTTTCTTGAGCATTTATTTGTCAATTAAAACTCTTGTAATTGAATAAATGCAAGGTTACTTACTCTTGCTTTTTAGTTTTGATTTTGTGGGTGCTTGCTTGGTTGTAGACGACTTTTTCTTTGCAGAAGTTTTTGATGTTTTTGGTTTCACTATTGCGTCACTGTCTGTGCTTTCACTGGAAGAGTCCACATATTTTACTGTAAAAAAAAACAAAAAACAATTTAGGCAACATAATAAATATGTGTAAGAAAAATGTTGCTATATACCTTGTTTCTGAGCTGCACTTCGCTGGGAAAGGCGAGTCTCATCTGAAGGTGCTGTTTTCTGTTTGAGTTTTTTTACAACTTCACTCAGAGGTTCGTCATCAGAACTGTCACTATTCAAAGCTGAAAATACAAAAACAAAACGATATAAATTGCATTTCAGTATTACAAACTTGGATACTCAAGCTGTACAACTTGGTGTCTTGTGGAAAACCTTGCCTTGTTTTTATCATCATCTGAAATTAATTTTTTTTAAATAAAGCACTTAAATTCAATAGAGCTTGAGATCAAACATTAAAATTCATATTAGCATATCCCACTATTTTTCTGACATGCTTAAAATGTCCTGTGACATTTGCCAGAACCATATAAAAAAGTAAACAAAAGAGCTGTGGAACAATCAGATAAGCTACTTCACTTAAATGACGTCAGAATACTTTAAACTGAACTCTACGGCTGCGTCTCATTTCTTATTTCTCATTTCCTTCTCCTTGATCTACCATTTTTCAGCTGTCAATCAAATGTGTCATATTAAGTCGTGCCCCAAAGAAATCTGTAAACCTAAGGGAGGCTTCAGGAGAAGACATCGGAGAAAAGAATCAAACTTTATTGGTCTCAGTGAGGAGTTTAGATCCTCTCTCCTCCCTGCGTCTCCTCTATGGGTGGGACTTCTTCACCCATTTTCTGCAGAATCCAGAAGAGGAATCAAGAAGAAGGAAGCGAGGAAAGAGAAATGAGACAAGGCCTACTCCTGTTGTGTCCACCTGGCGCCCCCTGGAGGCCGCGGTGATGCTGCAGGACACAGAGGAAGGACATTTTTGGCTCTGCCTCTCCTCAAATTGCCCTGACACAGATCTGACCTGACCAGTCCTCCTGTTAAACTGAAGAGCAGTGTAAATGTTGCTGCAAATAAACTTGAATTTCCCTCGGGATCTATAAATTATCGCTTAAAATACATCTCCTCCCGATCATCATTAGGCAAACTGAAAATTCTGTGAGGTGACAACACAATCCCGAGCTCTATACCTTTTTTTTTCTTTGTTTTTGGAGCAGATTTCCTCTTAGTGACGCCGGCTCTCTTCTTTGCTATAAAATAAACAAAATTACTTCACATTAACAATATAAACTATTCAGTGAGAAAGTATATACTATAAAACCCGCTCACCTGTTTCCTTTTTTCTTCTTTTGCTCGATGCTGGAGTGGCCATTTTCTTCTTTATTAGAGGCTCATCATCAGAAGAATCGGACTCTGTTAGATTACATTATAATACATTTTTATATCAAGGCTTTATTACTAAGAACATCACAGTATTAAAAACTCAGAGGGGTATTTTTATGTGTTAGTCTCATTGTAGAATATTAATCTCAAATTTAAGTGGCAGCTGAAACTATTGTAGAAATTATTTTTGTGTATGTATAAAATGTCGAAATTTGTAATAACACTTCAAAAATATTCAGACTTTAGACTTTTACTAAATTTTAAAAACATAATGTTGCAATAATGTGCTATGTTAGACTCAATACACCATTCAATTGATTGTACTGTAGTTTCTGATATTTGTGTGTTCACGATTCTACTCACCACTTTTGTTGTCGTCTGAAAGTTTCTTGCGTTTAGACACTTTTCTCTTGGCCTCTGTTTTGGTCTTAATCTTTGACAGAGGAACGTCATCTTCAGAGTCTTCATCCTCTGTCAATACAAACAAAAAATGTTCATTCAGTCATTTTGCACTTATGAGTTTAGATTTTCTTTTGTTGTTGTGAATTTTGTTAATTTACAATAGTAATATTACTTCCCTGAAATCAAACCATAAAACGAAAACATGTGAATACTGGGGCAATTTTTTATTTTAAAGGTGCATCTATCTCCATGGAGTCAAATATGTGATGCCAGCAAGCTTATGGTGAAATCTGAGGTTTTTTTTCAAGTTTTTCAAAATATACCTCATTACAGTGGCTGAGGCTTTCCCCAAAAAACTTTCTCACCTTTTGGATCAGTTTCTGAACTTTTCTTTTCAGGCGACTTCTTTCCAGCTTGCTGCTTCCTCACAAGATCTGAAAGCGGTACATCATCTCCTGAGCTGTCATCTTCTTCTAAACAAACAAGTAAACATTTTGTTATGACATTCTTTCAGTTTAGGTCCCTAAACTGTATTAATTTAAATACTGATTATGTGCTTTAATATTTTTTTACCGTTCTTATCGGTCTGTTTTTTTGTCATCTTTGACAGAGGGACATCATCGTCCGAACTGGAGCTGTCTTTCCCTAAACAGTTAAGTAAAATAAGTTATTCAATTTCACAAAAGGATATTTAAAAATTTACAACATTTTAATATAAGCGAAATACAAAATGACAGTTACATAACAGCTTGACATCTAGTCATTTCTAACTTTTGTGTTAACATAAAACAATGTTTAAAGTTATGTGTAGATATTTTATCTTTTTTTTTTTTTTTTTTTACCATTTTGATCCTTGTTTGAAGTTCTCTTGAGATTTTTGCTTGATTTCTCATTTTCCGTCTTCGAAGCCAACTTAGAAAGAGGTACTTCATCGTCTGAACTGTCCTCGCCTGAAAAGAGAGAATCTTATTTAATGCATTATGTTATATAGTTAATTCAATGCAGTTAATTCAAAATTTGTCTCGCCATTTTTACTTTTACTTGATGCAGTAACAATTTTCTCATCATTTGTTTTTTTCGTCACCAACTTTGAAAGAGGAACGTCTTCTGAGCTGGAGTTGTCTTTACCTGAACAGAAAGACAGACAGAATATTGTATAAATAGTCCCTTGATCTTCAACCAATGCTTTGGAATAACAGTGTGGTTTGAAAAAAATTCTAAATTGAGTTTAAAGATTTACATTTGACAAATATCTAAGCATTTTGAAGTATCCTGAGTAATCTTGTAAACCAGAAAACAACAGCAAAATTCAATGCAAAGATGCAAGATCCAGAAACAGCGACACAGATACGGTTACATCACACATTTTAATAATTTAATTTGCGCTGTTTGATGTTTTGGTGCCTGCTGTGTGTGCCCAGCTGCACAAAAGGCTGAAAATGACTGAAAACAGAGCATTCACTTTATTACATAAATACTGATATATATGTGGTGTGTGTTTCACCATTTCCATTGTTGTTTGAAGATGTCACACTTTTATTCTCACTCTGTTTCAAAGACACATCTGAGCTACAGCTGTCTTTTCCTGAAAAAAATAGAAATTCACAATAATTAACAATTTTCTAATTGACAATTTGTCAAGGCAATTTTTGGGAAAACCACACATCTTACTTTGTTTCTTCTTCACCAATTCTGAAACAGGCACGTCATCATCTGAGCTGGAGGCATCTCCTTAAAAAGAAGTTAAATTTAGAGACATACTTTGGACAGCAACTACAAAACATTTAATTTTATTTTTATTGTAAATTCTACACTGTTTTTGTGCTGGCATAACCCTTTTCAGATGTTTTAGAGGTCTTTTGATAAGATTAGTTCTTTTAATTTGCTTTCTTTTCAAGAAAGATGTTCCCTGCTGAGCTAGAACTATCTTGTCAATCACAAAAATAAAAATATGTTGCTTTTTAAGATGTGTGTACTGTGTGTAAAAATGTGTTCAATAAATGATCCTAAAGCAAAGCACCACTTAATCACAAATATTCCAGTGCTCTTATATTTGTCACATCTGTTCTTACCACTTTGGTCCATTTCATGTGACTTTTCTGTGCTCTGTTCATTTGTTACTAGTTTTGCAAGTGGCACATCTTCATCGGCGGAGGAGTTGTCTTTACCTGAATACAGAAATTCAAAATAATTACAAATTTGACATTTAACCACTGAGGTAATGCAATATGTGTTTCATTACCATTTTCATCACTGTATGTTGGTGTAAAACTTTCCATCTCGATTGGTTTCTTTGTCGTTAATTTGGTCAGCGGAACATCATCATCTGAGCTTGAACTTTGGTCATCTCCTGGAGATTATAAAAATATTATGAAAAATTGTCAGATCTTAATGTTCAATACATGAAACCTTGAAGAATATTTTTAAGACTTAGAAAACTTTATTGTTCAAAAAGGAAAATTATTTGGGGGTTAGTATTGTACGTGTGTACATTTTCTTTGCACTACTTGGAAATTGATGGTTATTTTTTGGCTATACAATAAGATTTACGCCACAAAAGGTTGAATTAATAACTTCTATGAGTCATTACAGATGCAAACTAAGTACTAAAGTGTTTCATTCTGCTATTTATTCATTGCAACTCATTTATTTTTACAATGTTGGAGATTTAGAAAAGTTTGGGTCATTGTGTTTGTGGCATTAATTAGTTTCAATATTATCGTTTATCGTGTATATTTACATCAGTGATATATCGAACTTCAAAATGTGTTATTATAATTTATACTTTATGGACTAAATGCTATTATTATTGTGTTATAAATTACCACGTAGTAAAACTGTATGATTGAATAGTTAAAGTTTGTGATATTCAGTAAGTATGTATAAAAAATTATTCCCGGTTTTGGATTCTTGTTTTCACCCACTTTATTTATTAATAGGTCATAGATTTATTATCAAAATAAACCAAGCCTTTTTAATTACAATTACAGTGCAACAACTAATGTGATTTTAGAATAAGAATGTAGTAGTTACCTGAATGGCTGACTTTGTTCACTGGACTGCTCATCATTTTCGTCTTAGAATTACACCGAACTCTCTCTCCGAACCAGAACCGAGCCTTTTTCCGGGGAACACCAAGTAATAATGACGCAACAAAAGTAAAAACGACTAAAAGAGACACGCAGCCGACAATTTAAAACGCTAAAAACAATTAATAAAAGGCATGACAAGGCCAAAAGTCGTAAATGGCAGCTGGAGGGAGAAGAGCGGGATGTTTTGGACAGGGGGGAAACTGCGTCGACTGTTGATGACGTCACTCGAAAACTTTTACCGATTTCATTTTTTGGGCCAAATTTTTTTGTTTCGTTTAAAATGAAAACTACAACAATGCTTAAAGTGAATATATTATCACTTATCACTTAAAGAGTTTGGAAAATTAACAGACAAATTAATAACTATTGAAGGTAGGGTGACCGGATTTTCAAAATAAAAAACTGGTTGGTAATAATAAAATTGTGAAACGAGTTTGTAATTAAGGAAACTTGTTCTGCACTCGGCCCTAATGTGAGTCAGTATAGTCATACTTCCTTTGTGTTTTGGTCGTTATTAAGCAGCTTTTCTGTGTTTTATCTAAACAAATGACAATTTATGCCTCTCATTACTGTTGTATGAATCAGACTGGTCAAAAATAGGGACATCTGGGACATTTCATGGGACAAATCACTGGTTTTGGATAAATCTGCAGGGACTGGGGACACAGGGCTCAAAACTGAGACTGTCTTGGGTAAATAGGGATGTCTGGTCACCCTAATTAAAGGTGCATTGCGTAACTTTTCTGGAGGGTCTGTCAAATGAGTTTCTCGATGGAGATGTTATTGCTTTGTCTGGGATGTTTCAGAGTGTTGCTGGAGCTGTTTATTGTCATAGTGTAGGCACTTTTCCGACAAATCAATAACATCTCCATGGAGAAAAACTCTACCAGATAAGTTACATAGTGCACACTTAATATGACAAATGCAATAACATTTTGATTATAATAATACAGCACTTATCTAAACACTCAACGACACTGCACAAAGAATACAATACTTTCACAAATAGGCTAAATAAATCACCTTGCCAAATATTTCTTCAAAATGAGTTCATAAAATATATTTTTTTAAAAAGAAGAAGCAGAGTAGTGGTCAATTACGGTTGGCAGTCAACAGCTGACTTTATTACACACATACAAGTTAAATATTTTTATCACGCTATTACATTAGGACATGATCAAACAGGTGTGACTGAAACACATGATTTCTACATAAATCATAAAACAGACTTTGTTGTGTAGATTTTAGGAAAGCATTGATCAAGTACAACTTTTTTTTATATCATGATTTAGTGTTTTTGTATCAAAGATTTCATTTTCTGCCCTGATCATACCCTGAGAATTGAGACAGTCTTGTTTAAACCAAATACTGTTTTTAGTCAAACATTCTAACGTAATAGTGCTATCAATACCCCTACTATACTAAGCCATTCATTACCACATAAACAATGACAATTAACACACAATATTTAAGTTAATATGAGTGTTTTGAAAAGTAGAAACTCCAACACCACTCCAGAAAAAGAAATTAATCAATTTTCTTGCATTTAGACAATTTTAGAGTAATTGATAACTGAAGTGTTGAATTTAACTTAAAGTAACATACTCCTCATTTGCAGAGGGAAAGTAGAAATTTCAAATAGAAGAAAGTGATTTCTTCAAATAAATTAGACATCAATATTTCCCCAAGCCCTTGAGAGCCAAACTCGACTCAGTCATGACACAAAACAGTTTTAACAGACAGGTCACAGTGAAATGAATGAATTTTCAAGTGAGGAGGATGCAATTTCTCAGGTTAGATAACAGTCTTTAGTTGCATTTTGGGGCCGGTGGGCAGTGCTGCTGGTGATGTTTTGGGAGTTTAGATATATTTTACTATACTGCCGTCATCTTGCTGGCCTCCCTCACTCCGCTCAGATAGGCTCCAGTTACAGTCTGTGGGAAGTGTCTGTTGGTGGCCTGAAGAAAGGACAAGAAAAAGTGATGAGAGAGAAGTCATACTGGTAAATGGTCACACTTTTACACAGCGCTTTTCCACCTTCAAGGCACTTTACAACAAAGAACCACTCACCCATACACACACACATTCATATACCAGTATACACAGACACTGGGGGCAAGATGGGTTAAGTGTCTTGCCCAAGGACACAACGGCAGCAGTCACCTGTGGAAGCTAGAATCGCCTCGCCAACCTGTGGGCCAGTGGATCTGACCGCTCAACCAATAATGTTTTTTTATGTCGAAAACCTTCGGATCAGTGGACAAACGTTCCACCAACTGAGCCACTACCGCCCAAATATTATAGATGCATTGCACAACTTTTCTGGCAGAGAGTCCGTCACATTCTTGTCTCCATGGAGATGCTATTGGTTTGCCTGGAATGTTCCATGGCACATCTATGTAGCATTTAGTCATTAGAGGTGCTTATTTTGCTCAAAAATACAACCAGTCTCTGTGAATAGGGTTGTATCTCTGCAGATCTGACAGACTTAATCTCAACCATAGCACATTCTAGACAAAGCAATAACATGTCCATGAACACAAGCAGGTGGTGGACCCTCCTCCAGGACTTAAATTGACTTTTAAGAGCTTCAAACTATGTTACCCACTCAAAGTTGTGTTTAGAGCAATTCATGCATGTCTGAGTAATCTTTACTCTCCTGCAATCAAGCCACCATTGCCATTAAACACTACAACCTCTTGGATATAGCTGAGATATATTTATATTACTTTATTTCTATATTTAATTTTATTTTTACTTATACATCTACATTTATATCATTACGTCTCTTGCTCTTTTTGCTACTTATTTACAAATTATATAGCGGCTGTGTCCAAGTAATTTTCCTTGTGGATCAATAAAGTTTGTCTAAGTCTAGTTCAAAACTACCATTATTAAAAGGTGCACTATGTAACCTGCTTATCTCCATGGAGATGCCATTGCTTTGCCTGGAATGTTCCATAGTATAGACATAAACATATTCAGCTCCACAAAGACAAGCAAATGTTTCATGGTAATTTTTAGCAATACAAAATGATTATTTGTGTTTTGATTTCTTTTTGTGACTTTAATGTATTTTTTATTCTGTAATTAATGCCATAGTATTGAACCCTCCACCAGAAAGAGTCCATAGTGTATCTTTAAAGGTCAAAATTAACTTATCTCTTGTTGTTTTGTTCATCAGTGTTACCTCTCCAGCAAAGAAGACTTTCCCCTGTATATCTTCAGCAAGGATGTCATACGCCTCACCACTGCCCCCTGTCTTCACAAAGCTGTAAGACATCTGGGCCCACATATCTCTGCTCCAGTGCGTCACAAAGTAATTTAGAGGATCTGGAACTTCCTGAAAAGAAAAAAAAAAAAACAATATGAGATTAGCCATAATAAAACTCTCAATACTTCTACTAATCTAGTTTAAAATGACTTTGTACCTGTTCTTTAAAAAGTTCCCGTAGGATTTTCATACAGACGTCAATGCCTCTTCCTCCATGTCTCTGACAGCGGCCACAGCGTCTCCAGAAATAATAGACATAAGAACAGCATGCTTTCCCTATACACACACACAAACAGAACAGACTATAACAGAATGTACATTTAAATTTGTTTTTATACTGTATGTAAAATGAATATTCAGTGAATGAATCAAACCACAGAACTATTTAGAGGGCAGATATTGCTTTAAAAACACACACATTCATCAGTAAATGCACACCAGAATTTAAATAGGAGTTTTCTCTTCAGAGCCAGAATAAGAGGTACATTTAGACGTAGGGTGGGCAACATAACATTAAACAATATTATTTGACCTCAAGAGAATCCGCCAATACAGAGAGATTGTGATTTAGTCCATATTTAACCAATCGCAGTTAAGCATGAACACAGAACAAATGAAAAGCATACAAGAATCAAATATTTGACCTATTTAGGCTACTGTAATATTATGATTTATTTAAGATCAAACAAATTAAAACATGGATCTCATTTTTAAATCTGTTATTTTTATGAATTCTACTTTTCATTTGTTGTAAATCAAGAATATTTGTCTATTTGAAAAACGATGACTTGTAAAATGAACAGTATGTAAACTCCTCACCTGTGGGTTCATGTCATAAAAGACGCTGAACATGCCTCTGTGGTCAGGACTTGGGGGGATGTGACCAAAATAATCTGCTCCTTGGATTTTACTGTCCCAGAATCTGAACGGGAACTGAAGAGCAACCTGAGCAAAAGATAAAATAAATTATATTAACAAACAAATAACAAATATAATAGCAACAAATGTACACACTTTACCTTCTCAATGATGCCAGCTCCAAGACTGTGGATGGCTTTCATTTTTCTGTCCGAAAGGGGAGGTTTGAATTGAATGAAGTTTTTCTGAAGCAGTGTCAAAGGAACTGTAACCAAAACCTAAAACAGACATTACATGACATCACAAGGTGGAATAGAGCATTTTGATCATTCAAGATGTAGACAGACTAATAATAAAGGGGATGATGTGTGAATGAAACACAACATAACTCCAGGTTTGGAGGAGGAAACAACATTATAACATCAAGAGTCAATTTTGTGTAATTTACCTTTAAAAAAAACATATAAATTCATAAGTCATTATTTAATTAAGAAAATTACTTTCTAAATTTCAGGTTTGTTGATTCATTTATAATATATATCCAAATAGTAATTGTTACCTTCTGTGCTGTCCACTGTGATCCATTGACTGAAGTTACTTTGACGTGATCTCCAGAGTAATCAATGGACTGAACCTGTAATTTAATCAAATAAAAAATAACTAATAGTTTTCATTTTATCATTACTGTATAAACATTACACTTCTAGATAAATGACCTACAGGACATTTGGTTCTGATGTCCAGCCCTTCTGCGAGTTTGTGCAGTAACACAGCGTATCCTTTAGTGAGGAGGGTGTGGTCTCCAGAGAACTGGGCGAAGAACTCATTGTGGTCCCAGGATCGAGCAGAGACCTGCAGAGAAGATGAAACATTTTACAGGTTTAAGAATGTGATTATATCCAGCCCATGGGCGATTTTGCCTGAAAATTGCAGATTTTTTTTTCTCTCTGCAATTAAATTACATCATGTTGATGCACTATGTAACTTTTAGAGGGTCCACCACCTATTTGCCAGAAATGTTCCACAGTATGTCATTTAACTTGTCTATTGTGTATTTATTTAATTACAGG